TCACACGGGTTGAGACAGCTGGCCCACACATGTTGACAAGATCAGAAAATGCACTGCCCCAACTGACCGCAAAAGCCACATGTCAATCAACTGTCTAGATCTGCCGATCTGCCTCTTTCGCCAAGGTCTTCCAAGCCGGCAAGACTTCACGAGCGGCTGAGCACGTTTCCGCATGTTTCCACACGTTTCCAGCACAGATGTTCCGGAGCTGCGTGCTTCCGTTCAGACGGGTCCTTCCCCACGTGGCGCAGGAATTGTTGCAACTGCTCCAGGTGACGTTCGTCGCGGTCGTCGGGATCTCTGCCTGGGCTGCGATCGATCGATCGATCGAAACGGGCGGAGAGGCGTGATGAGAGAGGTGAGACATGAGGAAAGAACGGCTGACGGTTGAAGGAAATAGGAACTTAATAGAGTGTTTTTGTATACCAAACAACATGTTACTTAGACACCAAGTTGATGCCGAACCAATTTCTGCTAATTCTTCTTTGGCGGTCAAGCATTCGGGAAAATCATCAACCCACCAAAGACCACTGATGCGCATAATTATCCATCGTGCCCTATTATTGCCCTCCCTGTTAAAAGCTGTAATACACGGGGTTTGCAAGTAGAGTACAGAAACGTATAGGAGCCAAATCCGCATGTGGGTTCACGGCTCACTCGTATGAACTCCCCTTCAAGGGTTGTTGGCAAAGAGATCACAACTATGTCCCAAACATCTCTTACCCAAACGCTCATGGTCCCTCATATGGAGGGGTCGCAAATCCCTAGGTTTTGAGGGACCAAGGGCTGTTTGGAGCGTCTGGGTAGACTAAACAATCAGTTGGATAAACCACGACAGCAAAGACATCTAATGTTGCTGAATTCTGACGGCGAACATGGCAAGGATGAGTCAATCAGTCAATCGATGTCTTTTTGCTAAACAAATTGTTTACATTGAAACTCATATTGGTTTATGAGCATTGATGCTAGATGTTTGGTAGGAAAAGCGCGCCTTGCCTGGCGAAATGATGCGCGTGGCGGATGTGCGTTGCGTGGATGTTCGTGTAACAACGCAGCTCGGAGGGTCGATCGTCTGGCTGTCCCCACGGGGAGAACAACGCAGAGCGTTTCCGATTACGACCAACGAACGTCCTTTACGGGCAGCCTCATCTGAATTGGGGGATGAAGCGCCTGACTTCTGAAATCTTGGGACAGATGTGTATTTAAGTCAAAAATGATAGACATGTATATATAGTAATATAGCAAAGCGTTCCTTTCTGCATCCTGAGTTTTGATGATGAAGTGGCAACAAGAAATAATTGAGAACTCCGGGTCACCCTTGGTTATATAATATTACCTATTATATAAGACATTAATTATGCTTTAGATTTGTGAACAAACTCTATGTTCGTTTAGAGTCTAGAGGGCCTCATACAATCTTCAGCCTTCGTCTCATCGACTCATCTCTCGCTACAAAACAAGATCTCTCAGCTATCGAAGAAGAATAGGAACCAGCACCTTCATCGTCATTGTCATCCTGATTCGCATCATGATCTGTCAGCCAGTACTTGGGACGCGTTGAGGGGAGCCATCGTACACAGTTGGGATCAGAGACAAGACCAAGACCAGACCCAAAGTTGGTGGACGGAGCATGTTTGTGTGTTCCCGCCTCAGACTCGACGACGGAACACCTGCACCTGCCTCCAGCACTTCTTCGCAGCGCGTTCCACATTTAAACGTCGCGTTGTGTCCTCACCAGCCCCCTGTTTCCACCATCCAAAAGAATTTGTTGATTGAAGTCAAGAGAAGACGCCCCATGAACAAAGGATAACAAAGAAAGACCTCACAGGGATGAAGTGTAGTAGTTGACAGCTTTCTGAGTGGACCGACACGATGTTTCGACGTCTCGTTGCGTCTCGTCACTTCGATTGGTGTGCACGATACGAGACGCCGTGTGATCCTGCACGAGCCCAAAAAAGAGAATCTGACTGAAGACTTCTGCAAAAGGCACTCGCAATGGGTTTCTTGCAATAGGACTCTTAGACTTGGGTCGTTGGATGCGCTGTTACGGCACATTCGACTCTTGGGGGTTCCATGTGAAACAGGGGGAGGCTTACCTCCCCATGAGAGGCTTGCGAACGCATTCGGTGATTGGAGTCAACAAGGCAGCTCCCATAATTGATGCAAGGACTGTCTTTTATGTTCTTTACACACATTCTAGATGCAACCTATACAATCCTATACACACATGCTAAGTCGTCTTGTGTATCTCCACTCCAGGAGGAATGCCAGAATTCAAACGATGCAAAAGGTTAAAAACATGTCCATTTTTGTAGGTAAAGAGTCCGAGTCCTGTAAGTCTGACTGAAACAAACAACTGCTTTCTGTAGAACAAAGAGGGGTCAAACAACATGTCTTAAAGACACACCATCAACAATAGCACTGCTGTCCAGGGCTCTAGATTGGCTAAGGGCCCGCCACTTTGCAAAACGATCATCAGCATGCATGGCAGCCATGGCAGTGCGGGCGCGCTCAAAACGGCTGCCCCCACCACAAAAAATGGCCAGGAAGCTACGGAAGTGCAGTGTGCAGGCCATGAGTTCCTCTGATGGCTTGGTGATGATTTGCTTGGATGCCTTGCTTTTGATGGGTGTACAGAATAGCAACCTTGCCGCATAGTCTCAAAAATTCCGAATGTCTATTGTCTCCGTGCAGAATGAAGAGAACGGATCTAGGATCCCGGAGCAGCTCAGACAAAGCAGGATGTTGCCAAGTCCCATTGACGGACATGGGTTCTCTGTCAAAAAGTCGACACGCGACCGGGCAGCTATCCATGAGTGCTCCATGAGTGCATGGAGATATGGAGATGGTGTGGCAGTTTCTCATGTAAAAGAAAACACATCTTCCAAGGCCAGTGAAATGAAGGGAAGCTTGCATGACTGGAAGACTCAGCTTCGTCGTGAAAATCCCAAGTAACGAGCGCTTTCTGGACGTCGATGTCTGTGTCTATGACTTTGGGATACTTTTGGGGTCAACCTGGTCTATGACTTTGGAGGTCATCCCTGACCCTTAAGAGGTTCTGCTGTAACGTGAACCCATCAAGGGGAGACCACCAACACAACCAACGCAACCAACCGATTGGTGGTCTAGTTTACTTCCCTCCACACCCCAATCTTGACAAGCCGAAACGTTGACGAACAGAAGCGCTGCACTGCCCTCTTCAGCCGGAAAAGGATTCCGAGGCACCCACCACTGAAGTCTCAAAAGTCACTATAGCAAATCACAAAAAAGAACAATGGGTGGCAGTTTCGAGACCCCAGAACCTTCCCAAGATGTCGAAAGAAACACATGGACCAAGCGCACCAAGCGCCAAGCCGCGCAAGCCGCGCAAGCCCTCCCTGGACTTCGTTCGATCTCCATTTCCGTACTACAGTTTGGTGCGAGGCTCTGTTTCACCACCCCTGTGGCATGGACGGTGGCCGTGCAGCCGGCAGTGATGGCCTGGCTGGCACGCACACTGTGGCGGAAGTTCGGAAAACGAGTTTGGGCGCCAAGTGAAAACTTCACCAAGACCATTGGACCATGCGTTGCACCTGGACTAGACTATGAGGGACTCATACTGAACTGGATTTCAACTGGATTCGCTATTGGAGACACCAAAAACAGTTGTTACATGTTGCTACTATCTTGGAAGATGGTGCGTGTGGCCTTCTCTCTCTCTCTCTCTCTCTATCTCTCTCTTCTTGGAAGAGGGCCCAGCAGACTCGCGAGGTTGGACGCCGCCCCCCTTCGAAACGGTTGGAGCCCTTGGATCGAGGAGTTGTTAATGATAATGCATATAATAACTAATAATGCATGTATGTTCGATTACTTAATCGATTGCCTATTAAACTACGTACTATATATTGATTTCTTCTTGACCTTTCTCCATCACTCGAGTGGCTTGGTTTGGAGTGGTCTCTTTCATCTCTTCCATCCACCACCCCCGGCTGGTTCACCCTCGCCTTGCCGCTTCCAGGCTTCAAAATCTGGTATTGCGTCTGGTATCCCGGCAGGGCCTCCGCAACGAACACACGCAGCTATCCCGGGACGGAACTAAAGGCGCTAGGCGCGGGAGAAGGACGGCAAGTCCAGGGGTAAGTGGGTCGATCTGATGGAAGAGCTTTCCGGTGGAACATCTTGGAAACTCAACACCTTGGAAGGTGACTTCGAGATACTTCAAGGTTAAAAAGAAGGACGGGTTCACTCAAGGTGAAGGATGAGTTTGGGGTGGCAGGAGGTTCTTTATCATTCCACCCATCATCATGCTTTCCTTCAACGGCTGCAAACTCATCCGACGCTCTCCCTGAACCCATTCGCTCGTCCTGCCACCCTGGTGCCCAAACTCCTTCGCCCCACCTGCATGATGCGACAAAAAGACCAGCAAGGCTGCGAGGAGTTTGGCCGCGTCCGATTGAGGAGCCCAAGCTTGCGGAGGGCGTGGGCGTGTTCGGCGTGTTCCAGGTGCGGTGGAACACCAGGCGGTCTGGCACTGGGTGACCTGCAGTGACCTGCGAAGAGCTTGAGGGGGTTAAGCTTTCGGGTGGGGTTCTGCCCAATGCCCAAATAGTTCCGAGTTGGAAGGATCAGGACCTGAGTTGGATGGAAAGCTAGCTTACAGATCGGGTCTAAAGTTCCCACCCCTTTGGAACTCCTGGTGGGCCTTGTAACTCACCTAGCAGGCTGCCTGTGATTTGTTGCCTTCGCGAAGGGGCTTTGGGGGTTGGGATGTTGGGATCCTTCTTGCTATGAGGAGTTCTGCCCTTGAACTGCCTTGTTTCAGTCTGATCACCCAGTTTCACCCTGATTGGCTCGGGAATGCGTGGTTTCTACAACTGACACATGTCTACTTGCACGGGTTATGGTCAGTTGGTGCTGAGGAACTGGTTCCTCTGCCTCGACCCTCCACCCTGATTGACTGATTGCCCCTTCAAGGCAAACAACGAGACCCCGAAACACCCGCCCCGAGCTGGCGCTCTCACCACTTGTTGTAGTGGATATCACGCGCTCGAAGCATGTCCTCGGCTCTGTCCGATGTTCACCGACCAAAAGAGAAAGACACATGGCTCAATGGCTCGATGGGTCGAAACCCGTCAGCACCTCCCTTTCGGGGTCTGACTGGAGTGCCATCGGTCGAAACCACAATGTTTCACACCGGTCGGTCAATGGCGCCCTGACTTCTGCGCGGCATCGGGTCTTTGGGTCCAAACCCGTCCCCCAACAACTCATCCACAATGGGTGGATTCGCCACGGCCGTGGACGCTCCACCGGTCGGTCTCCGCTTCGACCAATCTCTTCGGTCGATCGAAACGGGGCCGAAGCGAAGCTACGTAGCTATACCAGGCCCCCCGGTGCCAGGGGTGGTTCATGGACACCCCGAATCACCTCTAAGGAGCTATTTATTGGACACCCCGAAACCGGGGGCCTAGGTAGATGTTACGGTTGAAACTCCTGGTGCTCCAATGTCTGGAACAGGATGGCCTTCAGTGTGAACCTTCTCCAAGACTTCGTTCGGCCACACTTGAAAGTCTGTTTAATCGTTCACCCATTTCTTAGCATAGAAAACCCTTCATGTTTGGGGGGCGTCTACTCCTTGACACCGAAGTGGTCAACAGATAATTCAAAATGCTTGCAACCACCATCAATCCGAAACACTCCCCTTTCAACGCCAAAAACCCCAAAAAAAGCCCCAGAAACCACCCAGAAACCACCCGCCCCCTTCTCTGGGCGTTCCGGTCGGGCTTGTTGGGGAAGATGATCCGCACCTCGGAAGGTCCGAATCGACGGAACGGTCCGGGACACCGAGGCTCCGGGGCTCTGGCTCTTCCGGTCGGGCGCGAACGTTGCTGGGTCCAAGACGGAGGACTAGTGATTTGGTTCGTTCAGTTTTAGTGTCATCTCAGTATAAGTTCTTTGGTTAACCTTTAATACTATAACTCTCTCTCACATAACACCAAAAGGGATCACCAGATGTTCGTCACCCAAAGACGACCTCCTTTGTGCCGATGTCCTTCTCGCGCAGGTCGCACCCTTTTTCGGGCCGAAAGCTCCACACCCATCGCGGTCGCTCGGCTCGCGGCGTTTGGTGATCACCTGGCGGATCCGGGGAGTCCCACACCCGCTGAAGCCGAGTAGACTCGAGGGTTCAAGGTCCGGACCCCTCGATAGGTCCGGGTTTCTGGGGGTCGCGTATAGGAGGCGACCAGACCTGTGAAAGATCTTCTTCTGCACGGAGAAGGGATGAGAAGGGAGAACAGATTTGTTCAGTGGGCCTCTTTGTTCTCCTGTGATGAACACCTACGGCCCATCATAGGGCCCATGTACACCGCTTGCATGATGAAGGGACAAACAATCCCAGCACGAAACATCCAAATACCCTCTGAGCCTTTCAGCTAAAAGATCTGGAGGGAAAATCAATCGCTTCGATGACTGAGGTAGTGGCTTTGGTCGCTGCTTCTTCCATCATCAAATGGCTTCAGGATCTGCTACACCCATACGTTACATCCACATGTGGGCAAGTTTTAAGTGTGACAAAGCGGCTTCGTCGTGCATTCCCAACCACTGTTTCAAAAAAGGAACTTGACCTTCGCCCCAGCAAGATCACAAAACCAATACCTGGTGCTGTTTGACTATTGGTTAAACACATCCATCCATAGACCTGTTTTGATCAAAGGCCCCACTTCTCCCCCGACCTCTGCCAAGGATTCCATCGTCCCCATCGCCAAGTCCTGGCGATGAACGGCAAACCCGATGGACCGATGAACCCGAGGTTTTTTTGGTTTTAGGAGCGAGAAGAACCATGAATAGCTTCTCGCCTTGCCGTTTGACGTCATGATGCTGGTCAATGCTGGTCGTTGACCTCGATTTCACCCCACAAGCCAACCTCTTGTATCTCTTCTGCGTCGCTTGTTCCAAGGATGTGATACAAGAAGACTTTCAAATTGGAGACGAGTTCTGGGGTATGCAACCAGCAAAGATGTGTCCGGAGTCCGTTCTAGGAGATCAAAAGTCAATGAGGAATGAAGAATGAGTCATGCGTTCTCCAAACTCGACTGCGGTTAGTCACTCCGTTTTTCCGCACTGGTCACACTAGCTAGTTCTGTTCGGCCAGAATAGCAGCTAGCAGCTAGCAGCTAGTCTCGCTTTGTTGTGAGAAACCTTTAATATTTTCTGCATGTTCTGCGACACTCAAGCATGGGTTCATCTCTCTCTCGATTGGAGTACTGCTGGTCACGGACTTAATGTTAAACAAAGAAACATGGCCTGTTGACAAAGACCATGTCGACCGGGGCAACACCAAGCATAGCAGCCTTGTTTTGCTAGCTGTCTTTTGCAGGCTGTGCTTCTTTCGCACTAAAACTGGCAGCATGTCTGTCAGGATCTGCCTGAGCAACTGAGGACAGCTTCAGGAAATTAAGTGTCAAACAAGGTCCTATACTACTCTAAACAAGCAGGGCCACCATCTCTCCAGCATCGAAACAGACCTTACAAGAAGTAAGACAATTGAGCACATGAAGCTTATCATCCCCTTCTCATCCTGTTTCCCTCTGTTTCCATGTTCGCACCAACCATTTCTCTTCACATCCTTCATCCCTCTCCGAAGTTGCTCTGCTCAGGCAGCTGCCGCCGAAAAATGGGTGTCTCCACCGCATCACGCGCGTCACGCGGGCTCACGGAGGGCTCTGGAAGACCTCACCCTTCTCGGACTGCGGCACGCGGCGGATCTTCCTGAGCGAGGGAGTCTTCACCGAGTTGACCAGTCGGTGGGATGATTCTCTAGTGGAGTTGACTGACTCTGAAAATCGATGATTTCAAGCGGAAGATATGGTGTGTACTTAGTATACGGGTCTAAATAATGGCCTTCTGGGAAGGTAAGTGAACTACCTGAACTAGGTGATTCAGGTGAACTGAGATGGCAGCTTCCCAGATTAGTCCCTATAGCCACACCTTCATAGTCCAAGACCCCGGGCTCCCGTCCAGAAAAACGTTTCAAGCCGAAGAGGAAGCGCCACATGGCTGGCTGAGCCAATCGTTGTAGGAGAATCCCAGGGGAGCTGGACCGGAACGGAACCTTCCGGCACTCACCATTGAAAAGTAATGAAAGATCCTTCTAGGACTTCTAGGACAAGGAGAACATGTTCAACAGAAGATCGTCTAAACCTCTGGATGCCCATCTCTTTGGGGCCAAGTGCCAGTCAAAACCGTCCCAACGCCTCCAACGCAAGTCTTTCCAAGTGGCGACTCGTCATAGCCAAAGCCTTTGCTCTTTTCAATCCTCAGAACTCTTCCAGACTGTCATTCACTAGGACAAATAAGACGTGTTTTTGCCTGATAGGCGCAGAGAGGTTTGGGCGGAGGGTCAGCTTGTAACAAAGTCGCAGGCCGCTGATACTTTTCAGCTGGCTTCTGATGTGTGAGCTACACGGAAACTCCCTGCTGACAACTTCCCAACGGCGATGCTACGTGCATGTCTGATCGAGCAGGGAACTTGAGAGAGGAGGGGGGTGAACGAAAGGTAGCAGGGAATCAGGCGTAATCCGGGAGGAGGTGAGAGGCCCCCCACTTGTTTGAAGAGAAGTGAGTGAGCGTGATGAAAGAAAGACTAGTGCACAAACGCTTGACAAAACCTCCAGAAGCTGTAGCGGTCTAGCGGTTTCAATACAGGTTGACGTGCCTTCAAAAGGAGTCACAAGTTTCTCAAATGCAACTTCGGATTTACATAGTGACGTGCGGCGACCCTGTAAATTGCGTGGCCGCAGGCCATGCTTGCAAACAGGACGTGCTCAAAAACACTGGTATTTACGAGGTTTCGTTGCCGTCGATCCACAGCCGCGGCAAGGTCTAAGGCCACGCTTGAAGACAGGAGGAGCTGAAAACACTGGTATTTACAATATTTTGGAGCCGTCGATCCAAAGGCGCACCACGCTTGAGCGCTGGAAAAGCGCAGAAAACCGTGTAAATACCGGCGTTTTCTGCCGGGAAGGTGCACAAAACCCTGTAAATACCATAGTTTTGTGCAATTTTGAAGCCTCCAAAAGCCTCAAAAACCCTTTCTGACAAAATCTTTCCTGGTTTTTGGTCTTTTTTCGGTCATTTTTCTAACCGAGACGCATCAAAAACCATCGGTTTTTGCGGTGTTTTTTGCCGGACAGCCACAAAAAACGCTGTAAATTCCATGATTTTTGGTCACTGCTGAGGACTGGAAGAGCTGAAAACACTGATATTTACAATGTTTTCGAACGGTTGACCCCGAGGCGCGCTAGGGTGGAGTTGAAAGGGGGGGGGGGGGCCCCCCCCCCGGCCAGTAAACGAAGATGTCGGGGACCATTTCTCCGAGAGATAGGCTGCAGCTCTGGGTTAATACATTTTTGCTAAAGCAAAAGGAAAACTCAGGTAGCGTAACCGCTACCTTTCGTGATAAAATGACGGCAAGTAGTTGACTAGGTGCCTGATTTCACCTTCATGCTGGTGTTGTGCGATACCACACCAGAAGGCATTCCCAGCCCACAAACGAGGCTATGCCATGAGATCAAGTGTCAGTGCATCGTAGTCCTTGCTGGAGACTGTGGGGCTCCTAGGCAGAACCAGCAGATCAGCGGTTGAAAGAGTGGCTCTCTGGCCGTGGAGAGGCTGCACTGACTAATCGGTGGATCTTTGATGATTCCAGTGAGTGCTTCGGTGGCTGGTTCCCCCAACCAGTCTGAAAAAAAGAGGGGGAAGCACGTACCCACAAATGTAAAAAAAGAACCTAAGTCAGCCAACCACGCTGCTGCATCCCACCGAACTCAAGAAGCCTCAAGTCAGAAGGGGTCAAGTACAATTGCATTCACACCCTCGGCTACTCTCCAAGGTGATCTCAGCAACTCTGCGAAGACACCCCCGAAGGCCACCTGCACTACTATGCTACTAGGCTGTACTTCTTCTGCTATCTTCTGGTGATGTCCAAACCAATGGGATTTGGGATCTGGGGAGAAAACAGGCCACCAACAGATTAGGGCTTGGCAGACGGGAATGCTGGAACCCTGCCTGCACTCGAGAAAGCAAGGTGCGGTACTTCATGAATCATTCTTTTGCAAATGGAAATGGGGTTGTGGATGGTTGTGGATACCCACCCCGTGTTTGGGTCGAAACAACACGCAACGATGTTTGAGCAAAAAATTGAACACGCACATCTCTGATGCTAAGGAATGCTGGGGCAAGCGTCCGGCTCAGAATCCACAGATAAGCTCGGTTCGGATAGCCCACGATGGCCTTGGATGGGCTATCTGTGGGTTTGCAGCCCATGACCAAGCAACACTGTACGCTCCGAAATGCCAAAGACGCCTCTGTTTTTAGAGCCTCTAAACGGTGCCAGAGCTGCAAGCGAGCTGCTTGGAGCAGTCTACCAACCAACACAACGACAGTTCAAACCATAGTATTGCGAATAATCGTACCACTCAGCCCAACAAATGTCTGATATAGTAGCCACTGCTAGAGCTGCTCCCAAACCCCTCAAAACCCATGGGATAAAATCATGAGATGTGTGGAGTTGCTTCGTTTGAGGGACAAGGGGAACACCACACCGACAGGCCGCCGTGAACAAACTGTGACACTTCCGGCCAATTCCGCAGCAGGTGAGCAGGAAGTAGGACAACACAGGAAGGTAGGACGAAAACAGTGGGGAGGCGGCGCAGTGAATTTGTTGAAAGGCAGCGGTTTTTCTTGATGGCACCTAAAGTGAGGTAGAGGCACCATGAGGCACCTAAAGTGCTATATGAGGCACCGGAGGTCTGATGGATGTCCTCGCAGCGGCGACACGTCACCGCGCCACGCAATCGACCAGTGGCTGTGTTGTAGTCATCCGCGCAATCGACGATGATGTATGGCAATCTCAAAACCTGGGGTCTGTAGCAAAAGCGAAGGAAACCGATTGGACACAAATGCCTGGAAAAGGGAACAGTAGACAACCAAGCCGATTGATTGGGGGTACACTAATCTGGAATGGAAAATTGAAAAGTCCACATTCCCTTGCAATGGGTAGAATCACCTAGCCGAGAGCCACTTTGTCATGCATCAACCAGAAAATCTAGAGAATCTAGAGAAAGGACGCCATAAAGAGCATTTCTCAAACACCCAAACAAACATGTCAGAAGTTCGAATCATTGGTCTACTCATTCCAAAACTCTCAGCTCCACCAAATCCTCTTTCACTCAATGGACCACCAGAAAGCGCAAACAGCTTTCCTCCAAGCGGCACTGCTCATGCCGTAGCCAAAAATGGGCAACTTGGGAGAGACGCGCCACTCAGCAAAGGTCTCCTGGTTAGATGAGCAGCTAAGAAATTGTTCAGCAACCTGAAAGACGTCAGGAAGCTCTTGAAATTCATTGGTTTCTTCGTATCATGAACCACATGAATGTGGAGGAACGGCATTCATTGCTGATTTGAATAGACTCAATGGCATTACAGTAGATCCATCCAGCCAAAATGCACACCGAAGGAAACCGGAACAAGTTCAATGGTCCAGCTCTTGAATCTCTCCCTGCTGCACAACCAAAAGAAGACCAACAGCAGCGTGTCACGCCACTCCTTGTTCTTGACCCATCCTCGCTGGTAGCTGTCATTTAGCGGCCCATCATCAGCGTTCTCATTGAACCTGTAGCAGACTGCAGGGGTCGGCTTGAACCATTGGGTCGGACTCCAGTGCTTGTAGCACTCCCTTTGTCACCCGCCCATGGACCTCTATTGGGGTACTGAGCTTCTCAGCTAACATCATGTTGATGTCGGGTGTATCCGGGCATAGGTGGATCCTCGAAAGGAAAGAAAGTGACCTTCTGCTGAGTGGTGCTTTTGCACGCTTGACTCGATTCCGATTCCGTGTATCTAGAGATATCAGGAATGAAGCTGCGATTCTCGACGAGATCAACCACAGATCCATCCTCCTGAACCCGCCTTCTCAACCCGACCCTGCACATCTTTCTTCACCGACGTTCTCACTTCAGTTCCTGGAAAGAGCTTGCCCAGGAAAAGGGTTTCTCGTCTTCCCTTCCTAAGCTGAGGAAGCCCCAGGCTTCCCTCATCCGCCCCCCCTCACAACCCGAACCACTCACCCACTTCCCCTCAGAACCGCCTGTAGTGCACGCTGATCCTCTCCTTTGCTTCATCCCAGGAATAAGTCTCTACCGCGTTGTGCGCCAAATGTTCCTGGAGTTTCACGGCCCATGAATCCTCCGCCGTGCCCTGGGGTGCCCCCCCACCTAGGTGGAAATGGTGTGGTTTAAAAAGAAAGAGATGGTGTCGCAGAAGGTGCTTCTAGAGCAGCACACTCCAACAGCTTGGCTGGGCTGTACGAGTGCACCTGTCTCATGCACCTGTGAAAGGTGGCCCCCAAAGGTGCTAAAGAAAGGAGCGATCCTGATCCCAGTGGCCCCCGTTCGGAGCGATGGTGGTCGGCATTGGTTTGTGGATGCGCGGGACCTGGTAAAGCAAGCCTGAACAGCAATCCCAATCCCATGAGGGTCAGTCTGTTGGATCCCAGATCTGCCAATCAAGTTGGCCTCAGGAAGACTGGGAAATCCATGGATATCTTGAGGAATCCATCGGCCAAATCTTCTCCCTGATCGTGACCTACATGAAACGACGCCCGTTCCCACCACTGTGCCTGTGCCAAAATGGCTGGCAGCCTATCTTCATCCCTTGCGACCCACCACCACGGCGACCGACCACATTCCCTTCACCCGGAGCCTTGACCAACCTCACTGGGATGTGCGCCAGCACGTACCTGAGGAGAAACAAGAAGATGCGGGGTCCTCCGCGGGTGGTTGCTGAGGAGCATTTCTGGGATACTTCACCCCCAAATCTGACTTTGCCAGAAAGTTCTCGAGCATCTGTCAACAACTCACATGGCCCGAATCTGAGGGAAAAACCTTGGAGGGTCCATCATCAGTCGAGGTCAGTGCCAATCCAAGAGACCAGGAGCCCATAAAGCGTTTCAAGTCCATGGTCTTCTCCATCGCCATCAGCGGCGGCTTTGCCATGGCCCTGGCGTGCCAGCGCGCGCCAGCGCGCCAGCGCGTCGGCCAGCGAGGCTTTATGGAGATGGGGGACCCTTGAGGTTTCTTGACCCATCACAACCTCGCAGAGCATGTCTGGGCACATGCGAGCAACTGAGGTTGTAAGCATTTCTGTGCCTAGGATTTACTTGAGCTTCGAGCATGTTAAGAAAAGATCCTCAGCAAACGTCTCCAATGACGTCTGCTGCCACCCGCCCCCAAAACTCTGCCTGGGATGCCTAATGTGGATCCACAAACATGGCTCCAAAAACAAAATAAGACTTTTGGAAAGTGCCAGCCAAACTAGACCTTCGCAGTCCATACTCCTGAGCAAAAAAATATCTGAGCTGAATATATTCTAGGTACACCAGAAAAAGCATGGAAAAAACTGCAACTCTACCAAAGAAAAATGATATTCCAACAATTCCTGGCCATCCTGCGTTCCCCCAAACCGGGGACGTAGACGTAGACGTCGCGGATGGATACCGCGTAGAAAGGGAGCATTGAGGGAGTGCAGTAGTGTTTTCAGCACAGCTGATGACCATCTGATTACCCATCCGCTGATCAGAAAGTCCCTTAGAGGTCAGTTGAAACGGATGCCTCTATACGCCATACGCACCCAAGATGATCCAAGATATTTAAATTTATCTTAATTAATTATGTAATATTCCATGTCCATGTCCATTCTACTCTGCGGTTTGGCACTTTGTCCACCACTGCCCTCCCGTGCAGAGCCAGGGTCTCCATCCTCCATCCCCTCCTGGCACTCCAGGCGCCCAGCAATGGAGCCATCACGAAGACCGCCACAGCCACCGGACGAGCACGTCGAAGCAGCGGGCGTCGCAAGAGACGAGCCATGGGAGGCAACTCGGGGGGGGCTAAGGGTCGGTGACTCGGGGGGGGCGGTCGGAAGCTTTCGCTTTGGGGGGTTTCGGTTTGGGCTCGGGTGGTGCATTGAGGAGGGGGAGGGGGGTGTTGCTGTTTTGTTGGTGTGCCATGGCCATGCGTTGTATACTCAAATGGATAGTATTAGTGAGACTCTGCAGCTGGCAAGACCCTGGCGTTTCAGTGTGATGATCTGCATGAGATTTGATGCGATTCGGCTCAGCTTGAGCAAAGAAGACCAGTTCTTTTTCTGTGAGTACACGTCCCAGGAGTTGCCCAGTGGGTGAACCATGGTGAACCCATTAACTTCGCCCAGCTTTTGCTTGCAAGGCTTTTGCCTTGGCAAGACGGGAGCCCTGATTGACTTAGGAAGACTCCAATGGTCGTAACACACCGGGTGCCAGGCATAAAGAAAATGTTACTGTAACTGCTTGGTCTTCCCTCAACCTCAAGGATCATTTGCTTGGATCGCCTCCCTGCTGATAAGGCTAACAAAACATATACATGCCCGGCGTCCTGGTGTCAATGCGTATTTGCATCATGTTACAAGGACCCCGTTGTGGTTCTCCTGGAAAAAGAACTATAAAAAAACTTCAAAGTCTACCTCATCACCAGCGATCCATCCACTTAAGCACTGTGCGATCCATCCAGCGGTTTGTTTGACCCAATTGTAACCCTGGGTTTGCTGGCAATGGCAAATAGATTGATTTGACCACCCGGAATCAGAGCTCTTACTTGTCCCGATCAGGTGGTATGCATGGGCAAAGTCCAAGCTGGAGAAAGCTCCAGATGCGAGAAGTCCCATTCTGTCCAGTGCAACACCCCTGCAGTGAATAGAGAATTCGTGAGACTGATGGAGTGACTTGCTCCCCTTTGCCTCAACACACCTTCTTGCCTCCAAGGCGAGCTCGATGCCGAAACGCTTCTGGATGGTGGACTGCAAGCGCGCCTGGCCGCGGACGCTTCAATGAAGTGTTTCACCGCAACTTGGGCGTCTGTTGCTCCCATCGGACATCAGGGACACCACCTTGGCAATCTCACTCCCGCCAAATCCACTCCGCCGCTTGCGAACTTGATCAAAGGTCATCTACTGGCAACCCCACTCCGATCTAACTGATGGTCAGTTCGGGAACCTTCCCCCCGCCCTTCGGAACTTCGTCTTCTCCAAGTTGGCCGGGCTCACCAAGTCCAGAGAGTCCAGACCCAGGTCCTGCAAGCTGCCGCCAGACCTCGCGCTGCTGGCGCTGCCGGACGTCGCGGTGCCGCCCACCTTGGCCGGACTGGATCCCGGTGGGAGGGGAGAGGGGAGAGGGAACTGCAGTTGGGGGGGCGGTTTCGTGTTGGGGGTCGAGTTCCGCCCGGCAACATCAGTGCTTTCAAACGTTTTCCAGACAAAAGACGCGAAACAGCCGCGAATCGGAGCGGTGGGAGTTTGGAATTCTGATACCTGAGATGTGCATGGCTTGATCTCTGAGATAAAGTTCGAGGTTGCCAAGTAAACCTAGAGTGGTGCACAGGTTTGTCCATGAAATCTGCACACAGCTTGCCAGAAAACCTGGAAGCACTCGGAATGAACTTGCCTGAGCTGCAGATACCATCATCTTCCTACCACCAGGATCGACCAGGTACAGTTCCAAACATGTCCTGAAAACTCCATGGACTAAAGCGCCCAGCCCACCAACCCCTCCACTCCCCAGCGCCTCTGCCAGGGTCTCTTGCAACAAGCCTCGCAGCTCTGGTAGCCCCAAAGCACCTCAGGAAGACTGCACCCAGCTCTGGGGCCGTCGGGATTTGCCCATGTTGTCTGGGTGAAAACATGTGCGATGTCCGAATGAAGATGGTGAAACCTACGGGGAAACCAGCAGAGTTTGGATCCTGTATCTCTTCTTGCTTTGTTGAAAAGCGGTGTTGCTGATGGCTAGTCATCAACTAACTCTTCCTGCGAATGGCCAACATAGACTATGCAAATCTGGGCAGAAGCATCTGGTATACACCTGGGAGGCTTTGCACCATTGCGTATCCATTCAAATCCCTGCGATCTTCCTCCTCAGATGGTAATATGTAGCAACCCCTCATTGGTTCGTTGCTCCACCCAGGTGTCCTGCATCCACCGCACTTGGCTTCCAGGTGACGTGCCGCACCATGCGCTGCGGAGGTGCTTTTGCTCTGGGCGTTCCTATGGGGGCATTCGGCTCGGCTTGGTTCTCAGGGGAGAAAGCTGGCTCAAAGGCCGCAAGGGGGGGGATTGGGTTGGTCGGTTGGTAGCTGTTTCAGGTTCACAGGTGATTTGTCTCGCTGTGCCAGACGGAACACGGACCGGACCCACGAGGAAGAACTCCTGCCATGACAAAGGTGTAAAGGTAGCGGTAGGGGGTACCTGTGGTACCCTTGCAGAAACTAGGCCCACGCGGGTCCTAATTATCTCCCACAATTGCGGCCGTGTGCGGTGCAATCTGAAGCGTAGGAAGTGAACTGCACTGGACCTGTACCTGACTGCGCGGGATGTCTCATGTCCCAATGAGCAAACCAAATTCGGCTCCAATGGAACATTCCAGTGGAAATTGGCCACTGAATGCTTCCACCGCGCTCCACCGCGCTGACGCACGCGCTCCGCACGCCGTCCCTCCTCACCGCGTCTTCCGCCCACGCGCGCAGCGAGGGCTCGGAGCCGTAGACGTCGAGGCGCAGCCCGCAGCGGCGCCTGGGGCGACGGAGGCGGTGGGCTTAGGTGGATCGGGTAGATCCTGAGAATGGAGGTGGAGGTGGAGGGGGCGAAAGTGGTTTGAAGAGAGGGGGAGGACATGGAGATGTTGGCTGGGGGTGAGTGGATGTAAGTGGTCAGTCAAATCGAGTTGAAGAAAACGGAAGGGAAGTGGAATGGACTGAAGTAGGACTGGTGGACTAAAGGAGTTGATGCAAATTGATGCAAGAGATTTGGTGGGGAGTCTGGAAGAAGAATCGAGAGGTCTGAAACATCAGATTGCTTTTCCGCCCAAGTCCATGAGCATTTCTGTCGTATCAGCTGACTGCGAATACGGACTGAGCGCCAACAGCGCCAGGGCAATGAAGCGCACGGGTGTCGAATGGGCGACCCTGGTTGATTCAGCAGCCCTCCTGGCAGATTTACCTGGATTTACCACTCACTTGACTTGAAGTCATTCCAATGTGTCCACGGCTTTTGACGTCAAAGAGTTTCAAATCCCAGGGGGGCTTGCCCGGGTGCAAGGCTTGGTATATAGGGTTTGAGGGTTTGCAGGACCTCCTGGTTCATCCGTCAAAGCAGGGTCCACTTAGAACTGCACCGCACAAAGAGGACACAGGCCTCCTGTAAGAAAAACAATGATGATGTAGAGTCAAACGCTTTTCCCAACGGAGCTGTTTTGGATGCGTTCCTTTCAGAACAAAAAAACATCTATGGAATTCTCTTGGTGTTCTTTCATGTCTCAGAAACTGCGAATCTCCTACCGATCTGAGTCTTCTTCCTTCTCCAATCAGAGTCTTCCAAGGCACTCCAGGCGTCCAGAGAGTTGGGCGACTTCCAGGGAATCCAGATGCTCCAGATCCTGGCCATGTGAATATAGCGGCCATGTGGAAATGCATCCAAGAAGAAAGATCTCGAAGAATTCCGCCGAGACATTCCCTGCATATGTTGGGCCGGCATATTTCATGTCTCCGAAACGAATTCGACTGAGTTCTATTCAAATGTTCTGTGGAACAATGAAAAGAGATGAACACGCCAATGGTTCGTTTCGCCACTTCCGCTGGAGTCTAGGGCGAGGGGGCCGCATAGGGTGTCAATGCAACAAAGAACAATAGGGTCTTTGGCGGTCGTTGGCACAGAATTTGCCCTGCATGTCCAGTCTTTTGGTACTGGGATCCCCAGTCCAGGTCAAACTTCAACCTATTTTCCACCTTTCAACTCATCAACTCCAAGATCCAAGACCTGCTTCATCACCTCCGTGGGGTGATGGCCCTTAGGTGCTACGTCGCCCTGCCGTCACGTCGTGGAACGGGTGCCCTTAGGCCACCACCGCCACCGTGCGGCCGCGTGCGGCGCCTCCAAGCCCATCGCCTGGACTTCGGCCTCTAAGACCCGCTCCACGTCGTCCACCGAGGGAGGAGAGCTGCGGGTCGCCTCGAAGAGGGGTCGCTGGTCCACGGACGTCAACCGTCGCGCGCGAAGAGGTCTCAAGGAGGAGCTGGGCCGGTGCACCGCCAGAAAAGCTGCGACGGATAGAAACAGAAAGGTGCACCACGTGAAGCCCTTCTGGCAGTGGTGGGTGGTGATGTTACACAAGATAGATGTTACACAATTCTATCCGATAGAAAAACGTCTTGCAAGCAGCTGGGGTGGGAAACACCATGGAGAACCATGTGTGGCGAACTCACCGTGGCTAACGAAGAGTCACATTTGGCTCCCCGGAACCAAATCCGCAAAAATCCGCTCAGGTACCATGAAGCTCATGCTTCATCCACCGACTGAGGCTTGGTCCACTTATATACACCCTTCGGGCTTCAGTACCTCAACTGCAAACATTCTGAGGTCCCCACACGCGACGAGTGTGAGGTTTCCCCATAGCGGATGAGAACGGCGGTGCCTAGGTGGCATGGGGAGAGGGGCACTTCGTTTCAGGTACAGGTGAAGGGCACAAAATCAAGGTAATGATGTGTGCGTTTACTTGCGTACCACTTACACAGTGACACATTACTTGCCTATACGCCGCACTGTACTCTTGGGGCCATGAAAAATGATGCTCATCTATTTGATTGGTTGGGATCAGCTGCCAATATAAGTGATGTGGTGGGATTGAACAGCAGGTCTTCTTTCGAAATACTTACAAATCTTACGTTTAAAATGAGAGCAAAGGTCCTGATCCCCTGAAAAAAAAGACCCGTCACACAGCCACGACCAGATTGAACAAAGACATAAACGATCATAAATGATGCAGGATACTCGTCCATCAACATGCAATTTTTCAGAAGGCTACCCCACCATATCCCACCTCTCCACCTGTACCCATCCTGCATCACTCCCTCCACTGCCCAGCCGTGCCTTGGTTCTCCACGTCCTCCGGCCGCGCATGTGGCACCAGGCCGCAGATGGCCGCGCCGCGGGTGGTGTGGAAGGCCAGCACCTGTGTTGATGCACGTCTGCAGGGATGTGAAAACGAGTCTCCTCTCGTTCCCCAAAAGCATGCAACAAAACACTCCGAAATGCCGTCATCCAAAAGCGGGCCGACTCGTGACGGTTGGAAAGGGTGACGACATGTTTAAATCATACCTCTATACGCTTAGGCGACTTGGGTTGTTGCCGAACAGGTCCCAGACTCCATCCCAGTCGGTCTACGCGTTCTGATTTGCTTTGGAACGGAAGACGTGCCTTGTCTGAGAGCTCGCCGCTCTGGTGCTTCCTGCGCCCGCCGTCGGGGGGGGTGGGAAACATGTTGAATAACTCAAACGATGATCGCTGCTTCCAAGACAAGCAGAACGGGATGGATGGAATGGATGTCCCCCCAAAAAAAAGATGGGCTGCTTGGCACTGCTTGGGTACTGTGTCACGCATGAGACGCATCTACGAGTACCACGATTTGTCAGTTGAACAACAAGGGGTGCTCAGTAGAGCATCAAGAAGCCCTTATGACAAGCTTCACCGCAAAGCTCCCAAACATGATCCTGTTTCCCTCGTTCATGGTCCTCTCTGTCAGCGAGATAGTGAGGAAAATGATGGCATGATTTTTCGCTTGGAGGTGTTCCTTCTTTAGTGCTGGTCGTCCACCCGAACCATCAGATGTCATGGCTCTTCGCTTGGGTTGGGCTGTTGATGGACAGAGTCGCCAAGCCACTCTGAACCGAGTGCAGTTTCTGGCTGAGGTTAGGGCAGCTGCCCGTGGCCATGCAGGTTCTCACGGAAACCGTGATTGATCCTTTGTCGCAGTGACCGTGATTGATGTGCACTGTCTCCTCTCAGGTCGTTATATGCTCACTGAGCTCTTTGGCTACCATGATATCTGCACCAGGTTCACGAGACCGACTGCATTTCTCTCTGCAAGAAGAACTATAGGAGAACTATGAGAAGAATTCGAAGAACGGATGCCAAAAAGGGATGGTGTCCAACTGAGCTCATCCGAACTGCTTTTCTAAGAAGGCACCGAACTGTTTTTTCATACAACGGTGGATGTTTGAAGGGGACGGGGACTCAACCTGCATCTCCTTTTGGGGGATGGTTCACCCAAATGAAAATCTCATGGCAAAACCTACACCTTTTGGCAAAACCCCCTACCCTCATGGCATGTCTCATCCCATGGCACTAGATGTCCCTGATCCTCACCTCACTCAACAAAGAGCTGGAGACTCTGAACAAGGGTCTGTCACAGGCCTCACGTCTGCTCTTAGACAGGCGGTATCACCCCATCTCCGGGAATCTGGGTCCTGATGTAGTCTTCCATGCCTTGGAGTCATGCCGTTTTTCATGGAAGGCAACTGGCTCATTTCTTCCATGACTGCTTTGGATGGGAAGATGAGGCTTTGGCTTCCCAATGGAGTGTAGGGAACCCATAACCTTCGTCGTTTGCCTCTTTGAACTGACATTAAGGCCATTATAGAAGGAATACATGTGAATTTTAGAATAGTCTAAAATAGACATACCCATATAGATAGGTTTGTTTAGTTCCACTGTGTGTTTATCGGTTTCAACGATTACAAGGTCTTCATTTATGATATGTCTGTGTTTGAATAGCGGTTTATTTACCAGTTTTTGGAAGCGTTCAGGCGTATTGACAATTTCAAAATCACCATGCTTTCTTACATTCTCCATGGTCTTGCCGTATACGCTATTATTCATTAACTTAAACAAATCTTTTTCAAAGTCATTGTTGGCATTATTATTTCTCTTTTCAGTGTTGAATTCAATGAATGGTTTTAAGAAGTGTGCTTGTTTGAAACTGATTGCTCTATGGACTTTTTTAAGACGTAATCCGTGTTGCAGATAGAATTTCAATGCTGATATGTGTAAAACATACTTTTTTTTATCCATTACATTCAATACTAACTTATTTTTTTTTCATCACTGGCATCTTTTCCACAATAATATTTATGTATATCCTTCTGGACGTTTGAAAGCATATTCTCATTGATACTCATGATTTCAGGTGCTAATGGATAGTCTTTATGTAAATAATGTAGTTCTTTTGGATAATCTAAATCAACTTCTAATATGTATCCTACGTCATCATCATCACTATAGTTCATTACTCTCTTTCATCCATTCTACCGTAATACCATTCAAAATCACAATATGGCAGTTTCTTACACATTGCTAATCCGTAAAGGTTATTAGCATCTAAATAACTTATGTATGATGAAGGTTTAGATTTATCATAATCTTCATATTATTGTTTGCTTCTACTTTCTCAAAGGAGCACTGTGTCATTCCTCCTCTTAATCCATGTTCAATCATCTCATACATGTCTTTTATGTGTATTTGTTGTAGTCGATGATAAAAAGGCATTCCAAGAATAGTTAGGTGAAGTGATATAATATGCTGGGTCTAATCCATAATGGTTCAAACACATATCCCTAAAATGTTCAAAAAAATCAGTCAGTAAATATACATCAGTCATCAAATACAAATCATGATATTCACCAAGGATTTTAATGGTAAAATGGTTCCATACAATATTTGCTCTGGTGTAGTCTTTGTCAGTTATGTGTTCTTCATATAATGTGCTGTAAAAATATTATGTCTTTGGTAGTTTTGTTTCATAAAATCTATCCCATGAGTTCATATAGTCGTATGGATATACACCCTTATCAGTCAGCAAATTCAAATCCGTTTTAGATTTGATATATGGGTTGGTGCTTGTATATCTGAAACGAGTTTCCCAATCTTTAATCTGTTGATTTCCTTCATATTTGTTTGATCTAACTAACTTATCCAATGACGCAGTTAAGAAAGCGAAGCTGTCTTTAAACTGATAAGCAACAAATGAAAAGGTTATGAACTTTTCACTGTTTTGTGCTATTACATCTATTATTTTGTTTTGGTTTAGTTCTATGTTTAGTTCATTTGCTCTGGCAATGATCAATGATCAAGTGTGCGTCATAGTTTTTAAGATTATGAAAGAAGATAGGGAGTTTAAAAACATCTAAATGAATAATCCAGATTACATTTTACATGCGCTGCACCTCTGTATTTACCTGTGAAGTGGCAGTGGTCGCGGACTTTCTCATCATCAGGTTGGAATTCCTCATTACATATCGAGCAGTGGGTCGCTGTCTTTTGTTTGTAAGTTAATTCATTCATTTGTTTATTTACATTCATGTTTTCAAATATATCTTTCCTAATTTCAGTCAGTTTTTGAACAAAATGCTTCATACAATCCTCACCTCTGTATAAGTATGGTTGGCATGTATTATCAATCCTGCTTACTACATTCAACATATAACCGCACGGTTTATGTTCCTGATATGTGCCTTTTGTACCATTGTTAGAGTTAGTGGTTAGACATTCAAAATCACCATAGATTACAAAAGGACAAGGCAATTTAGTATTATGCTTTTCAAATTCTATGTAAGTGTCTTTATCAGGCATCTTTGTTTGTTGTCCTTCTGATGCCATACATCCCTTTCCAAGATGGTTCTTATATGCCTTTTCTGATGAGAAAGGGTTTAAGCAATGATGGCAGTAGTGTTTCTTGTTGATATTTTTATTGCTTTGGCAGCTAAGTAATCTACTTGTGTTTTTCACTAATACATAGTGATCGTTAGTATCTTCATCATAGATTTTAAGTAAATCAATTTCATATTTAGCATTTCTATGTTTAGTGCATCTATGTATGATATCTTCTTATCATTAAGGCAGTCATCAGTTTCAAAAACATTTTTTGAAACTAATTTGTTGTTTTCTTCAAATCTGTCTATGTCCCTATTACAAGTTGGAAAATTTTACACCATCCCAGTTCAAAATGGCATCATTCAATTTGCTATAGTGGAACATTTCCTCTGGGTGATGTTTGCTTACTGTTGTGAAAGACTATAAATTGAATACAGTATTTGAAGCATTTTGTGTCTTTTTTAATGTTGATACATGCCTGTTTTAACTTAATCCATTCTGGTAATTCTATAAAACTGCCTGCTCTTGTTGGGTCAAATTTGTCATAGTGAATGGTGACTGATATTACAGTATCGTTTTAAACCTTAAATTAGAGGTTGATGCTTCAAGATTTTGTATTTGTAGAAAGGTTTGTTTAACACTATCTTCTAATGCTTGTGTCAGTTCATCCTCATTATGAATTGTATAATATGTTGATGGTAAAGCATACACAAGTTCTTGACTACCAATTTCATTTCCTCCATCATCATATTCAGGCTTTTCAAATAATCCTTCTGTTCTTATGTTAAGTTTCATGCTTCTATTATGTCTTAAAAACTAAAAATAGTCTTTGTTTTTGGTGCGCAATCATTTCTAAAACCGTTTTCTCCTTCAAAGTGCTTATTTTCGAAAGCTATTGAATTAGCATATGCTCTAAATGCTGATTGAACATCTCTGACCCTAAATTTGTTTCTGATTGCGTGTTTGGTCAGTATTTGTCTTACTCTTCCTTCATTGAAAGCACCCTTTGCCTTGTTTAAAGCATAACTTCTGTATTCATTAGTTTTCTTTACTGATAATAATATCTTTGTTAAACATTTGATATGGGTTTGTCTTTGTTGTATCTGAATTTATTTTCATCTATGATTTTGGACCTTAATTAGTTTATTCCTATTTTTGATATTTCTGCTAAATCATTACTCAACATATAGTCTATAACTTTTTTCATCATATAAGATTTTATATGGTATTTACTTAATCTATCTTTAAGTAGTTGTTTAAAGAATACCGTATATTAATCTTGGAATATTTACTTAAAGATTAGTCAGTTAAGTATATTAGTGGATGGATTGTATGAAGGATTTGCCAGTAAATGTGTTGATTAATATTCTATCATATACTCATGGCGAACCTGAATATGTGAAAATAAAACATAGTGAAGCATTGAAGAGAATACAAAACAAATATAAGATTTCAAGACTTGGTCCTAAACGACACGACATTTGAAATCAAGAAAAAAGAAAAAGATACACAAAATTGAATACTGTATTATGAGAGAGGGAGTGTGATTTAGTTTGAAAAGTGTAGAAGACATAATAACAGAAGAATAAGAATAATTACTATAGTTGATTTATGAATAAGTAGAAGATGATTTAACTTTTATAGAGTTAAACTTGATATTGAAGTTCAATTGGTGGCAAAACTCCCAGAAAAGGACTATGGAAAAATGAATGTAGCTATAGATAGATTTACTTTATGAATGACTTTGATGAATATGTATATGAAGATAATATAGATGAAGTATTACATAAAGCAGTTGAAGAAATAAACACCGCTATTGAAGGAGACCAAGATAAAGATAGTATAATAGGAATGCAAGCCTTTCATTTTAAGTTAACAGTTATTGAAGACATTTACTACTAACATATGTCTAATATATATCTAATAGAATTATGGATTTGTAAGATAGGATTATTAAAGGTGAGGGGTTATGCTATATTGTTGTCTATTGTTTTGTGTCTTTTATGTTGTTCTTTGCTTGGTGTGTTTTGTTGTGTGCTGTTTGGTTGTTTTTTTGGGTATGGAATGGATGAGGTGATGATGTATACAATGATTTCAATAGAAGGGATGAGGTAAAACATGGTTAGTAGTTATGATTTTTAAGAAATGAATGAGGTAATAGATGGTTAGTAGTGATGATTTTGTGGAATGAATGAGATAGTTATGTATTCACTGTAATGATTTTGAAAAGTGAATGAGGTACCAGATGGTTAGTAGTTATGAGAGTTATGATTTTGAAAAATGAGTGAGGTTATATGTGGTAGTCTGTTGTGTTTTTTGTGAATATGTTTTTGAGTGTTTATACTGCTATAATTTGAGTTATAAAAAATTCTTTGAAGTAACGTTTTTAACATTTTTTTAAGGGCCCCTTGCGCAGTTCATCCATGCCAAGTGGCTCATGGAAGTCTGAGCCCACTGACCGCAGCGGCTCAGTCCCACGCACTGCGCTCCAGCGCCCTCGGCGGGGGTCTTGGCGTTTGGTTGGAGGTTTTGGGGGGCGAGCCGGAAAGGTCCAACTTGGGAAGCGATCCGTGATGAAGGTTCATCCATTTCGGGAGGCTCACTTTGGGGTGAAAAAGGAACCTTCACAAACTCTCTCTCCCTCTGATGACATCCCCAAGAACCACGGAATCCGTGCAAAACACGCTGACAGACTCACCGCAACTCCGTCACCGCATCTCCGTGCACGCGCGCGTCTTCCGCACGTCGTCGTCCGGTCCAGGTGCTCGCTCCGCCCGCAGAAGTTGTAAGACGAAGTCCCGGAGCCTGGGGCGGGAAGGGGCGGGAGAGAGGGGAACCCCTCGAATGAACCGAACCAGGCATCGGGAGGGTTTCGGAAATGAATGGAATGTCATATAACAATCTTAACAAGTGATAATGATGATAACAACCAATAACAATGACAATGATAGTGATAATGATATATTATGTTCCTGGTGTGTTTGCAGGGGGTATGAGTCCAGAATGTCAATGGTTCAAAAGGAATGTTCAGAATGTATGTTCCGGGGTGGCTAGATTTGAGTGGTTGGAAAGAAAAGAAGCAACAAACCTGTCGGGGATAGGATCGGTCGAACCCGCTTTCTGATGCAGAGCTTCCTCAAAACAACCACCAATGAAGGAACAGGATGCCTTGGTGTGGAAACCAGAGACAACCCTGCCGCACACCAAAAGGTGCAACCTAAGTGGAGGTGAAGGATGTTTGACCGGTTCAGCAGTGCAAGCCCGGATGGGTCGGACCTAGCAAATGTGGATTGGATCTTCGAATCCTTCTGAGGAAATGCCTTAATTGAGGCAATAATTTAAGTTCCAGGAGCAATAGCTTTATGAAAGCCCCCAATCCAGTGGAGATTCTCTCGGTGCCGACCAGACCCCTTCCTTCAGATCTCGTCGATGTGTGGAGCTTTTGTTGGGGGTCGGGAAACCATAGCTCAGTCTCACCATGTCTGGCTGACCATGACGATACTTGGACGATCCTTAACTTAGATACCCGTACTTGGACGATCCTTGGATCCTTTCCAAAGGCAAAAACGAACCACTGAGTGTGCCTCTTGTTCGCCCTGGTGCCCTGGTGCGACCCGCCCCAGCAAAAAGTAGAGATCTTCTTTGACGTTTTAGGCAGCCTTGATCAGACGTGCGGAGTGCCGCACCAGTCCGTGCTTGCACCAGTCCATGATTTGGTCGAGTTTGTAGACTCTCTCCCACATCCATCCCCATTGAGACCCTCTTAGCAGCTGAGCAAACTCCGACTCCTCCATCCCGTGGTGTCTGGTGTCTTCACGCGCCGAGAGGCAAAGCGCCCACGCCGGGCGCCTGGACGTTCCGTTGGAGGAAGAGTGAATGAGGGTGTATCCTCCCAAAGAAATGTGGGTGGTGGATCTATGGCAAAAAACATAAACATTCTCTCCCTCAGGTGGGTACAAACTTACCCAGCTTGTGATATCTGCGTCTGTCAGTTTGGACTTCGTTCCAGATCTTCAATTGCCCGCGGAAGTCGACCCTTTTTTAAGCTCCTTCAATTTGCACTCACACTCGTTGCTTGGTGCCGGTGGTGGGAAGGGTGTGCAGGGTGTGAGTAGAAAGTCCAAGTTCTGAGTGACAAACTTTCGTTGGAAATCGTGAAAGTGCCAAAAATGATCTACATATTTGGCCAGCGTCTAAAGGGAATAGTCTTGTTCAATAGAAGGGATCAAAGAATTCCCAACTTTGCAACCTTAATTCAAGAACGTCCATCCCCTCTTGCATTGAATTTTGAACAAATCCTACACTCAACAAAGGTCACTCCACACCCAGATGGACGCCCTCAGTCCACACAGGCACAAGACGCACGTCGCACCAGCCCAGCCGGCCTCCGGGTCTGCATGCAATGCGATGATCTGCAGCCTCGGGCGGCGTTGGAGCCCCAACGCCCGGTACATCCGAGTCTACTAAATATGGTTTGTATGCCAGTCTGAAGTACAAGACTGGGAAGTGCATCCTGGAAGTGTTTGAAATCCTGAAAGACTGATTTTTGGTGCAGGACTGAGTTCTTTACAGAAGCCTTAGCGAGTTCCATAGTTCACTGCACTGCCTTTTTTCGGGGTGGAGCATCCTCACACCTCACACCTCAGCCTGTTCCTGCCACCATTGGAGGTACTCAGACCACCAATGTAAAGCAAATCTGTCCGTCTTGCGGCCACGTCATCATCGCATCTGTAAAACCCAACCCAACCCAATCCCAATCTCAACTTTCGTTCCAACTCCACCTGCTTTCCACCCAATCCCCCATTGGTACCAAGTCACGTGGCTTCCAGCTCCTCGCTCGACCGCTCCTCAGGTTCCGCCACCAGCGGAGCGGACTGGTCACGGAGGCGGGTGGTGTAGATGGCCTCACTGGCGGCGATGCCACGGAAGAGCAAAACATCTCCATCCTCCCCCACTTCATCCCCCCCAGATTTCTGGCCAACCCTCCAGAATGGAATTGATGAAACGATGATCTTTGTTTACTGTTTAGGAAGAAGAACAGAACTTAAAGGAACACAGATCTTGCTCCGTTGTGTTCTTGAATCTAACCTAACAATGCAACTATAGAACATTCCACATCCCTTCAAATCACCCTCAATCCTCATGCACGTTCTCCACAATGCTCCACATCTCTCACCAAGGAGCCCCCAAGAGTTCTCCCCCCTCATCTTCCGCCACGAAGTTCCCCAGTGGCGCCCGAGCCAAGCGCCCGGCCACGGTGCCACGTGCCGCCTGCGCAGGAGCACGGGGTCGGAACGGAGGTCCGTCGTCTTCACCCCAAAAGCTTCGTGGAGCCCCTATGCTTTGGAGGATCATCATCTCATCGTTTTGGGCTCAATATGATTGATATCAATATCATTCATGAATTATCTCTAAACATAATTACGGATGGGTCTGCTATTGATCATGCCTTCATGCTTTGCTTTCTCTGCTGCTGCACCACATGATGAAAGAAACACCTCACTTCTGCTGGGATGCGACCAGCACCGGACGCTCCCCTCCTCGCGCCTCCAAGCTCCCCACGCGCGCACGGCGCTGGAGGGCCATCAAGGACTCCAGGTCTTTCTGCTCGGCCAGGCGAACGTGGAAGGGATACCTCGCGCGCACGGGATGAAAACCCATACAGTCGTGGAGGACTTCAACAGTCGGGTGTGCACTGCGACGCCCTTGCGGTTGGATGGTGTTCAGAAAGGTCTTGTGTGACAGTGATTCTTCCTGGTATTGGCTTGGAAAAAACTGACCAAAAAAAGAGTGCAGTTATCCGTTCTCCGTACAAAGTCTCATGGGTCATTCGTCAAGAGCCGGGCAAATGCATCATTTCTGCTTGGATCCTTTCAATCTCTGACCCTCATGTCAACATGTTCGATCCCAAACGGAATGTCACGACCCCCCGCCCCCCTTCCGTGGCAGACGCCTCTTCACGTGCTGGTTCATGATGCGGCAGTAATCTCCGGACTCCTTGGAGCTCGGCTCCCCGGCCATGGATCGACTCGTGACAGCGGTGGAGGTGCTCCTTTGCATTGGATGCGCGAGCTCCTTTTCCAATTGCATCTGATTCCTTGAGCATCACATAAGTAAACCGAGTCATTCTTGCAACCAAAGGCATCTACATGCATCTACCACCTCTCGCCAAAGCACCTTTAGAATCTTTTAGATCCCATTTCTCCAGCTGCCAGCCATCCCCCCTCACCATTCACCAGCACCCCTTCTAGTTGCCGCCGGGATACGGGGTAGCACTTCAAGCTCTTGGCATCAGCGCAACTGAAGAGGCCTCGAAGAAAACGACTTCGCGAAGGACTCACCAAGTCGGACGAGGGGCACTTGTCTCCCCGCCCCCCTCGCGACTCCGCGAAGAAGCGGTCGGCACGCTGCGGCCCATTCGTACCACGCGACGGAAAACAGGATGGTACTATGTGATCTCAGGATGAGGTAAAACAGCAAAGAACTGGAATAAGAGAAAATCAAAACTTCCAAACTCTCCAAAAGGGTTGGTTCTCTGTTGTTTGGCTTGGGGTCTCTTCTGAACAATGAAAACTCACACAAGGAGTTCGAGACAATGACCATGGCTGGTTGGAATCACGTGAAAGGCCCACTGCAAGGTCGGTGAACGTTGCAGGAGCTACCATCCGGAACTGCACTCCTTCGACCGAGTCACCGGCTTCGGCCAAGGCCAAGCAGAAGGCCTTCGCTGGGACCAAGTATTGCCGCGACAAAGCGGCTTCCAGGTCAAAATGGAACGACACCTGGGACCGGCAGGTCGCGCAGTGAGGAAACCGCATGGCGGGTCGTGCCAGCAACAGGTGGTCCAGGCAACAGGTCATCGAACCTACGGAAGGTAATTACTCGGGGATCCATTTAAAACCTACGTCAAGTCCTTGATGAATACTGTTTATTTTCGGGATTTTTCGGGCATGGACAGGGTCCTGAAGGAAGAGTTCAAAGCATAAGCAGTGAAGGATGAGACGTCACGCTGTCTCCTGAAATTTGGCGCGTGTCTTTCGATCTATGCAATCTTGAAAGAGAACTGCTTAAGGGATGAAGACCACTGGAAATCCTCAAGTTGACATTGTCTCATCCAGGACGCCCAATCTCCAAAACAGAACACCTCGCAGCCCCAGACCAAAGGAATGCAAACAAAAGGCCTCCAAGGCCAAACAGAGACAAGAACCGGTCGATACAAACAGCGTTATAGAATGGCTTTCATTATCTCTCATGGCCATTGAAGCCGATGATCCACACCATCTGGCCCCGACTAAATCGTTCTTTTTCAGTCCCCCATCGGGCAAGTCACGTTCTCGTTGAAGTAGCGCCGGGTGTTGGGCACGTCCAAAAGCATGACCTGGACACCGGAAGCCAGGCAGGAGAGAGATGTTGCTCTTCACGAACAAAGGGAAACCGGAAGCTCCCGGCATCGTTTGCTCCACAATTGGCAGTGTTCTGTCTATGTGGTGATGGCTATCGGTGGTGGTCTGTATCAGTTTCTGAAGTTGCTTCTTTGTAGTAACGTGCAATGAAGCAACGTGTTATGAAACAAACAGCATGGAAAAAAGCAAGCTCGCGCCATCACCTTTGCACTCAAAAAAACTATCTGCTTCTAGCTGTTGGCGAAACAACCCGCGAGTACTGACTCAAAGGGATGGATTTCCTACACAGATCAACTCATCCACCGATCAGCAAGGCCTCCCACCCCAGCCTCAAGGAGGCATAGGCCGAAACTGCTGAGGCACTGGGCCCAGCGCTGGAAGTGTTCTACCAAGGATTGGTAGACCTCCTGCCATCCGCTCGTTCGGCGGATTGACGGCAAGTGGGGCAGCTGAATCACCCCAGAATATGAGGAGAGAATTCGAGGAACAGCTGGCGTGCCAATTCTCTACCAGTCTTTATCTTTATATAAGTGTAAAATTACATCTTCGGCACTGGATTTCCCGCAAAAGCATACAGCACACGATCAGCATACCATTTCACAATGAAATCCCTTCCCAGCGTCCCATCCACTTAATCTCTTCATCCCACCCACCACCGTGTCACCGCGCATATCGCGCCTCCGGCGGCACCGGCTCTCCCGGACGGTCCAGGTAGGCGCTCCGCGCGAAGAGCCGCTGGACGAAGCGCTGCCGAGCACTGCCTGGAAAAGAAGCCGTTCCGGCAAAGGTAGAGCTCACAAGAAACCTCGATCAGGTACAGTAGTCAAAGTTAACGGGATCATCCTATACTCATAGTGGAAAATGCGGGGCGAAAGGTCTGGGAAACATGGAAATCTGGTGCTTGGGATGAGTGGAGGCTCTTTTTCTGCGCTGTGCAGTGTAAATGAGCCATTGCGATAATCGCTGTGTGTTGGCAAACCCTTCCGCTTGAAAAGGTCACCGAACTCACATTGATCACAGGCGCGCCAAGACTATCAACTACTGTGCCATTGCCTCCTCCAGCTGGCATGAGGGAGGCAACGTCTCATCATTACTAATGATCTCACGGCCCACTGCCCACATCAAAAAAACACTTCATGTCTGAACTGTTGAAGTTCAAGATCCTTCTGCAATGAAAGCTTTTCTGGTACAACAACAACAACAACAACAGCAGAAGTTTCAGGCGTATGGGACATGAACCACTTCCGGGTCTCCCCGGCTCAAGCTCGATCTTATGCCGAGCACCCAAAGACTTCGATCTCATCCACGGTCACAGTTTGGGCTTCGGCCAAAAACGTGAACTGACCGCCCGTGCCGGACGCATTGTAGGTATGTCCAAATACACTGAACGTTGCTTGTCCCTGGCTTCCGCATTGTTGGAGCTGCAAATCGTGCCCCCCACCGAAGACCGGCAAGTAGGACACAGAGCAGGAAATGCCATGCTGATGATTCTGGAAAATGTCGTGCCGCGACGGCGAGGCGTTGGGCCCACAGAGGCGGAACAAAAAAGCTCCTTCACATCTCACGTATTGATTTGTGCTGCTCCACGCTGCATCGGTGTAACCCCCAAAGATGTAGCCACCAGTGCTGCGGGCGAGCACGACCGTCGGCCCCCGGTTGTCGCACTTCTGATGGAAGTTTGCAGGCGCAAAGCCGTCTTGAGTGGCCTGAGTAGCTCATTTTTGGTGGCACGTGAAAAGGCGGAATTTTGAAAGGGTTGCCATATACATCTATTTAACATGACTTGCCCATACTGCAAAATGGAACAAGGTTATCATACACAATTGAACCACGGAAAGCCTGGCAGCAGGCACTGTCCACCAGATTTTTCAGGGTGTTGAAAGTCAAAGGTGACAAAACGTGTTAAAAATGAACTCTCGGAGAGAACGATAAGGCATCATTCCTCCAGCCGCACCGGCTAAGTGAGTAGTAGGGCAGCCGAGCAAACCAGTGTCTAACTCAGTGGTGAATAGCTAGCAGCATGAGTAATTAAGAATCTTCCAAGGCCAGCTGTACAAGCAGGTGGCACCTGGGTCCTAGTCCAAGTCACACGGTAGAGCAACTTCAGCTTCTTGAGCGGCAGCCATTGCAGCAAGAGCAGCTGCTTCTGGGAGTCAGCCAACTTTGTGTCAACCAAGTCCACGACTTTCATGCCTTCTAAGTTCAAGTACTCGGTGAACCGGTTCCATGCACCCCTCTTTGGAGCTGGGATCTGTGGAGCAAATTCCCGGCCAAGGAGCCCTTTGAGCCTCAAGTGGAGCATGAGCAGTTTGAAGAGCTCAGGGTCTTCGTCGAAGAAGACCTCTCCGTCCACCATCTCGTCACTTTGCATGGTCCAAGCCTGCTACGCTGTAATGTCTGCTCTAAACAGGTTGAAAGTGCCTCACCCACAACTTACCTTGTGAGCTACAAGCGCCAAGTACTACGTAGGCACGTCTAATACTTGAACTAGAAAGTGAACGTATCTCTTGAGTGAAGAATCTCCTGCTGGTTGATTGTGACAATTCAGTCTGGGCGGTCGACCAACCTGACAAAGGCAACCCAGCAAGAGGAAGAACCTGTTCTGCAACGGAAGTTTTTCTCACAGTGATGCGACTCCAAATCACCCCTGAAATCTGACTATGCACTCTAGAACTCTAGCACTTGTGCCTTCTCAAGGCCACAAATAGCTGATTGTCGAAGGGAATGCCTTTACTTTAGCCGAAGGACTCATAGAACGCACACAATTTGCTTTTGAGACTGCTGCATATACTTCAATAGGGCTGGTGGCCTGAACCCAAGTCAAGTCTACTATACATATAACGTGGCAAAGCACCTGCAGTATCACAGGTCCAGGCCTCTCCAAATTTAGCAGCCAACTGGGACTCACTCTCAAATAGCAAGGTTGATCGGAAGGTCTCCTGGCTGGCCAAAAGGATTTGAAGGCATGTTGCATGGGAAACGCACGCGGGGCGCTTCCATCTTCCTTTGATTTATGCAAGCGGAAGTTCCTGTGCATCATGCAGCGCCCTGCTTGGACGCAAGTTGGGGTCCGAAAGACAGATTCCTCCTCGAGGTGTCCAAGAACCTATCCGGGATTTGGGCTTGAGTTGAATGAAAGTGTGCAAAGCCTTGTGCTGGTCGCAACTTCTAATGTTGACGTGGAGAAATTGTTTGCAGCACAGACTTCAAGTGTTGTCCTAAACAGTGGGTAGTTGCACAAACAGCCTCCTAAGCCACTCCCATAACCAACTGGTCGGAATCGCAAGAGAATTGTCAGAGTGCTGTTGCATCGTCCCATCTCTGCTTACGCAAGCAGAACACCAATTGACAAGCAGTTTCCTGCTTAGCTTGGATTCCAGAACCGCCACTTCCTCTTTTTGTGCAGAAGAACCTTTCTGGGATTTACGATGGGGTGAAGTAAGTATGGAAAAACAACTTGCGACACGGACTTCAATTGGTTATCTTTTTCACTGAAACCGTTGGCTTTTGGGAGGCTTTCAGGAAGGTAAACAAGAGTATATAACAATAGATTTCCGGAGCACGTCTCCAGAACCACTCCGCTCACATTCAGGCGAATGATGTCCGCTTCACGCTCGCCAGAAGTGCCGCGGCCCAGAAACTGTCTCATGAAATCCACCTCAGCGCGCAGCCAGACAAGTAGAAGTTTGGGTCATACAACGTTCTCTGGGATGGCGAATTTGATGTATACCTTTTGATATATAGTAGTATAGTATACGATAAGATACAACAAATACACCTACTTCCTCCTTTACACTTCGCACATTGTAAAATAGCACCTTTGAGCCACCACCCACCTCAATATCTACGGCCTTCTGCTGTGCATCAAGCACCCTGTTTTGTCTACGAGTCGTGCACTCGTAGTCCAGAGCTGCCTGAGCGACTGCCATTACCTTTTCAACAAGGTCAGCATGGGACTCGTCCATCTCCATCTTGCCCTGCTTGATCGTAGAATCCAAAGCTTCCCTCAAAGTCTTGAGCGTTTCCGAGAAAGCTGCCGTATCCTCTTCTTCTGCTTTCTTGCTCTCACTCTCCAAATCATCACGTGAACACAAGAGGCGGCACAAATCCAAAAAGCCAGGGCGAAACTCTTCCGGCAACGATTCGACCGGGGGCTCGGTTTCTTCAAGTGATCCTGGCGGAGTTCGCTTCACATCAACCAGCCAAGAGAGCAAAGCCCTGAACTGCTGTGGATCCAGGTCGAGGAAGAATCTGCCACTCTTGTCCTTTGGCAGAACCTTATCCCAGCGGCCTCCAAACATCTGCGACAAGCGCGAGCCTTCGATGGCGGTGAGGGTGTCTCTCCTGCCGGGGTGGCCTGCTGTCACCGCAACCACAAAGGTATACGGTATAAATAACAGCAAGGACAAAGGAGGAAAGTGACAGCCACTTTATAGCCACATCTGAGGGTAATGTACTTTTTACATCTTTTTACTGCTAGGACCTTACTTTCCTCCCCCTCCTGGTTTGAAACGCGTTGTCACCGCCCACGTTCAGCTTCAACACGTCAGAGCCTTTCGCCGTTGCCTTCTCATCCTTCCCATCCGCTGAGCAGGACAACTTCAGGCGCTCCTCAAACCTCAATCATTCTCCGACGGCGCAAAGAATGTTTGAACCCAATCGACGGTCCATCCTAGGTGTGTTAAGGGCAGCTATTCCACTGGTCACTTGAAAGCCCCGGAGTGAAGATGCCAGATTGAACCGAAGTTCCTTAGGTTCCAGGTCGAGTGTTGGAAACGAAGTGCCGAAGGTTATCCAACTTTTGTCGGGCCATAGCCTTCGGTGCTCTCTGGGGAAACCGCTACGGCCAAGGGGCGAGAAACACAACAAGAGGAAGCCCTTGAACCTGAATGCAAACACATTAGCAGTCATTAAAAGATGTCCCTACGACAAAGGAGAAGAACCCTTTGCTATGCATTCTGGAAACAATAGAAAGGACCGGATCACCGGGCTGAGAAACACTGCTCCAGACGTCTCGTCTTCTCACACGACCCAAAAGCAATGGCACCGGTATCACCCTCCCTGGACCGCACCATGTTCATCCACAGTATATGTCATACTACCCTGCTTTGGGAACTTTACTTGTGACCCATGCCAAACCTCAAATCCAAAAAGCTCCAAGGAAAACTGAGGAAACAATAACAACTTCTAGCTTCCCCATATAGCTCTGCAAACGCAACTCCAGTCCAAGAAACACATTATCTAGCTTCTCACGCTTGCTCTTGATGCCCTCAACCACTGCCTCCATGCTGTGCTTTAGGGCTTGACACGAATCCGAGACTTTCTGCTCTCCCTGCGCCAACTCCATGGTGAGTGAGAGCCGCAAAGCTTGATCCACTCAAACAGCTTCGATCTGCACACAGTATTCTTCCACTTCCAAGTGCCCTCAGAGCCCAATTAAGCCGTATGGTTCTTGCAACGGCCAAACAGCACGAAGTGTGCCAAAAGCAACCACAGCAACCAAGTGCCCCAAAAAAGTGTTCCCACCTGGTGGAGTGGGAGCTTTTATGGCGGCGAAAAAGGTCTCAGGAATTCATCAGGAAATCGGGTGCGACTGGGAGGATGAGTGGGAGACTCTTCTTCTTCCTGCGCTGTGGCTGCTGTGCGGTGTGAATGAGTCGTTGACATGATCGTTGCGCGGTACCCCTCTGGCTTGTGAAGGTTGACGAAACAGGCATTCAACAAAACTATCATCAAACATGCTTTCGACTCAAGGTATGAGAGAGGCATCGGCTCCTATTGTCCGGCAAACGGCACCTACTCACTGCTGACTTGATTTTATTTAGATCAGCGCATGACCCAAAGCCCACATAGAAAAGCGAAGGGCCGAAAGCCCACATCGTAACAAGTTCGTGTCTGATGGAGTTTAAGAATCCTTTTGCAATGCTGCAAGCTTTGATCTCACAACAGAAACTGAAATGAGCTACTTCGTCGCGAGGCCCCGCTCAAGCTCGAACTTATGCCGAGCACCCAAAGACTTCGATCTCATCCACGGTCACAGTTCTGGCTTCGGCCAAAGACGTGAAGTGACCGCCCGTACCGGATACATTGTAGGTGCTTCCGAAGCTGGTGCTGTGCCCTACCGCCTGGGCGCCTTTTTGCTGGAACCACAAATCGTCACCAAAGCTTGGCAAATAGCCGGATGGGTACAAGCCGCGATGCTTCTGGCATGGGTGAATGCCGTGTCGCGACGGCAAAGCGTCGCACCCACAGAGGCGGAACAGAAAGGCATCTGTGCATCTCGCATAGCTTGCTGCACTGCCCCAGGCTGTGTCGGTGTAACCCCCAAAGATGTAGCCACCAGTGCTGCGAGCAAGCACAACCGTCGGCCCCTGGTTGTCGCACTTCTGATGGAAGTTTGCAACAGCAAAGCCGTCTCGAGTGGCCTGAGTAGCACGCCTAAAAAGCAAAGGAAGTTCTAAAAGGGTGTCAAAGCAGGCCATTTACATGAAAAACGCACATACTTGCATAAAACCTGTAGATTTGGGGTGAGCTTGTTTACATCAACATCGCAATTCCATACATCTTTGGAGAGTCAAACGCCCCACCACACCAGTTGCTAGCAGACGAGAAGCCCAAGCACAACCAACTACACTACATACAGCCTGGCCCTGGCCCTAATTAGGCTCGGCAGCAGAAAACAATCATAACATTGTTTGTGCGTTGAGACTTGGCAGAAAAGTGTAGAACTTGCAATACGTTCACAGGCACTGTATCCACCTCAATGTTATTGGAGCAACATGTTTACAACATCCAGAGCTTCCCGGCCGGTTTCATCGTTTCTGCAGAAGTTCGGATGCGACCACAAAGCTAGTAGCAAATGTTTAGCATCGAGGAGCCGAGAGGAAGGCCAGGCGTTCCAAAGGCCAGTTTTTCAAAGATGCTAAGTGAGTGGAAATGGATCCCACCTTCTGTAAAGCACGTAGTCAACCCTGAAAAATGTCTATATCAATATCTAATTATATACCAAAGGGCTCGGTACAGCAACTTCAGGTTCTTCAGGGGCAGCCACTCCAACAAAATCGGCTGCTTCTCCACATCGACCAGGTTAGTGTCAAACTCTCCCAGCTTCATGCCTATGTTCAAGTATCCTGTGAACCGCTTCCATGCCCCCTTCTTTGCAGCTGGGATCTTTGCTGGATATTCCTGGCCAAGGAGGCTTTTGAGCCTCAAGTGGAGCATGAGCAGTTTGAAGAGCTCGGGGTCTTCGTCGAAGAAGACCTCTCCGTCCACCATCTCCTCACTTTGCATGGTCCAAGCCTGCTACGCAGCAATGTCTGCTCTAAACAGGTCCAAAGTGTCGCACCAACAACCTGCCTTACGAGCAGCAAACGAAAAAATACTAGGCACGTCTAAGACAGAACTCGAAAGTGAACGTGTCTCTTGACTGAAGAAGCTGCTGTCTGTTGAATAGTGTTTGGCCGATTGCCAGTTTGACATCGCAAAGCACCTGCACTGTATAGCACAGGTCCAGGCCTCCCCAAATTTGGCTGCCAACTGGGACTCACTCTCAAAAAGCAAGGTTGATCGGAAGGTCTCCTGGCTTGCAAAGAAGATTCAAGCAAGCCAGTTGAAAACAGCCTCCTAAGCTCAATATACTCCGATAACCTTTTGGTCTTCATTGCAAGAGAAGGGTCAGAGTGGTATTGCGTGGGAAACGCATGGGAAGCCCCCCGTCTTCGTGTATGCAAGTGGAACTCCGTTTGGACTGCCACTTCCTCTTTGGATGCAGAGAAATCTGTCTGGGATTTAGGATGGGGTACAGTAGGAATGGAGAAACTCCTTGCGACACGGACTTCAATTGACATTCTTGGCTGTTGGGAGGCTTTCGGGAAGGTAAACACGAGTAAGATATTTCCGGAGCACGTCTCCAGAACCACTCCGCTCACATTCAGGCGAATGATGTCTGCTCCACGCTCGCCAGCAGTTCCGCGGCCCAGAAACTGTCTCATGAAATCCACCTCAGCGTGCAGATTGCACTATAAGTTTGGACCTGTGATTGGCATGCAAGTCATACAACCTTCTCTGGTATGGATAGATTAGTGCACGTCTTAACATACAAATGTACGATATACACAACAAATACACCTATATATATATATTATATACTTAATCCGACTCACTCCTTTAGACTTCGTACATTTTCGTGAAACACTCTTTTTGAGCCACCTCCGGCCTTCTGCTGTGCATCAAGCACCCTGTTTTGTCTACGAGTCGTGCACCCGTAGTCCAGAGCTGCCTGAGCGACAGCCACTGCCTTTTCGACAAGATCAGCATGGGACTCGTCCATCTCCGTCTCATCCTCGTTGATAGTAGAATCCAAGGCTTCCCTCAAAGCCTCGAGTGTTTCCGAGAAAGCTGCTGTATCCTCTTCCTCGCTTTCTTGCTCTCACTCTCCAAATCATCACGTGAACACAAGAGGCGGCACAAATCCAAAAAGCCAGGGCGAAACTCTTCCGGCAACGATTCGACTGGGGGCTCGGTTTCTTCAAGTGATCCTGGCGGAGTTCGCTTGACATCAACCAGCCAAGAGAGCAAAGCCCTGAACTGCTGCGGATCCGGTCGAGGAAGAATCTGCCACTCTTGTCCTTTGGCAGAACCTTATCCCAGCGGCCTCCAAACATCTGCGACAAGCGCGAGCCTTCGATGGCGGTGAGGGTGTCTCTCCTGCCGGGGTGGCCTGCTGTCACCGCAACCACAAACAACCACAGCAAGGCAAGGTGTATAAGACCAATGGGATCAAGAGGAAAATCATTTGCAGCTCTTTAGCCAAACCTGAGGGTTGCTGTAACTACTCCAGCCACGCTCTCCTGGTTTGAAATGCACTATCACCACCTACGTTCAGCTTCAACACGTCAGAGCCTTTCGCCGTTGCCTTCTCATCCTTCCCATCCGCTGAGCAGGACAACTTCAGGCGCTCCTCAAGCCTCAAATCATTCTCCAAAGGCGCAAAGAATGTTTGAACCCAATCAACGGTACATCCTAGAGTCTTCCAACTACGTCGTATTGTGCCGGTCTTCCATGATCAGTTTGAAGTCCTTGGAAAAGCCATGAGAACATTGGAAAAAAATAAAACATTACAAACCTACAAAAACCATCCATGGTTTGGGGAAAGCTAGACTACAACTTCCGAATGGTCGCCGGGTCATGAGGGCTAAAGACGCCGCACGACGCTGTAATCGCGTGGGTTGAGGAAGATAACCTACAATTGGGTTTCCGGTGGAACCTTTGGTGATTCTCAGATGTGGATGCATCAAAATTGCAACACTTGAGAAAGAACACTGGAAAAGAATGGAAAAGAGACTTTATGTTCTCAAAGCGCATCCTCTGAAGTATATACAGTGCCGCAAAGGTAGTTCTGAATGCATTGTTAGCAAAAAGGTTACGAGGCAAGGTTTGTGCTGAAATCTCAAATCAGATTCGGTTTTGTCCAACTTTGGTCTAAGTACTGCCGGGTGCTTTCTGCTCTCTGGGCAAGCAGCCCGCAGCAAAAAACAAATCCCCCAAGCTCTATGCCCCATCCAAGTTGGAAACACGTCTCCCAACTCAAACAAAACGTGGAAAAGGCCATCCAAGAAACACGTCGTCTAACATTCTACGCTTCTTCTTGATGCCACCAACCACTGCCTCCATGCTGCGCTTTAGGGCTTGACACGAATCCGAGACTTTCTGCTCTCCCTGCGCCAACTCCATGGTGAGTGAGAGCCGCACAGCTTGATCCCCTAAAACAGCTTCGATCTGCACGCAGTAAGCTTCCCCTTCCAAATGCCCTTCCACCTTCCAAATGCCAAGAGCTGTCGGGCCAATTTATTCTTCTTGTAACCAATCTTAATGGATCAGAGCCCAAGCTGTCTCTTTTGCTTCGTCCACCGCGCCCCAACTGCGCCCCTCGCCGTCGGCCTGGGAGAATGGGCCGCTCGGGCCGTTGAAACGGCCGATCGTGGTCCAGGAAGGAGCGCACGTGCAGCACCCGCCTGCGGTGGACGGTCGACCGGGTTAAAGAACGAGAAGGCGCGTGCTCATCTGCATGTTTTTTCCAGACATACGGAGCAATCTACATGTGTTTCGAAACAAGTTGACACCAAAAGATGATTGAATACCTCCCTCCTACTCCCAGAAGTTGAAAAGGCCCGGATCTTCCGAGCTGTCCTTCCCCACGAAGGGTCTTAGAATTATCTTAGAATCTCCTTTGGCAAGACCTTGGATGATGTGCATCTTATCACATTGACACCACTCCCACTCCAACCTGCGAGTCGAGCTCGCCCGCCTGGCATCGATGCCTCGGTGCTCCAGCTCTCGCACCAGGCGACCTGAGGAGTCAACGGCCACGGCGCGGGTCCCCGCGGGCATGGTCGAGCTGATGCGTTGTGGTGCTGTTCTTCGGTCGACCGGAAGAGTAGGAGATCATTGCAAAATGGAAGGTTACAAAGGATTTGTGTGGGTGATCACGGTGATCACTACAGAATACTACAAACATCTACACACTACTTCAGGTATAGGACATGTATCTAGGAAAGGTGCGCAGAGGGTTTCCATCTGCCCTCAGCTCCAGGGGCTTGGGTTCAGCAAGAGTGCACCTCGAAAGAAGAAACGGACATCGCGGTTGCTTTCTGATTTCTGCTTCGAGGTTGCCGTAGCGCAGGTTCTAGGTGCGTTCATTGGCAAATCAATACCATCAATACCTTCAAGGAATGGGCCACCATAATGCTTTCATAGCGAGCATTTCATATACAAAACAATCCTTTTGAAATTCTCAACCACACACTTGGTAAGCATCAGTACTAGGTCTCTGCTTCATTCTTGCTCGCTTCTTCCACTCCTCCCACTATCAGCAGCCTCACCATCACCAGCGCCCCCCCGCCTGGCTGCCCGATATCCGCCTCCAGCAGCTGGTGCGGCACCTCCCGCAGCGTCCGCGCGGCCGCTCCCAGCGCTGCGGTGTTCCTCGGGAACGCTGCGGGGCCACGGTGACTCGAAAAGGGTGTGTTGGGAGAGGAAATCGGGACTGCAGAACGGCAAGGTACTCCCATCACCCACGGTACCTTGCAAGCATGGTACCTTGCAAGGGTCTGGACCACACGCAAAAAAGGTCAGTGAGTTTAGGGCCTGAACCAAAGGTCTTCACAGAGTTGTCGTTTGTGTTTGGCCTTTCTTCCGAAGATGGTTTGGGGAGGTCCCACACCCAGACCGTCTGGAGATCCCAAACTTCCATCTGATCTATTGGGATCCCAAACTTCCCCTCCCGGCACCGGTTCAGTGTTTGACTGGCAGTTTTGTCAAGTGTGATTGGATTCCAGCGTTGGCAGGGCAACTGGTTCTGGTAACTGAGGCCATGTGCATATATAATTCCTTCAAAGACATGAGGGATAATGTCACCTTCAAACATTCAACAGTCCGTGAAGACATATACCGCCTTAGACGAAGAAGCCCATAGGATTTCTGCCAAGATCTGCCAAGATTTTTGTGTGGAGTCTGCCCATCTTGCATGGTTCAATGTTGGGCTCGAAACGAATGAGATCATCATGTTCTAGCAACCCCGAGAGAAGCAAAGAACATGAATACTAGCGCCAGGTTTAACTCACATCAGGCGGTGCAAAGTCACATCTCCCAATGGCACAGAGCCAAAACCAAGAAGTCACATCATGTTCGGTAAGTCACATCAGGTAGTGCAAAACACAATGGCACTGAGGTGTTCAGTACTGTGTTGTTTATACTCCCAAGTGGCCAAAGCACTCCCAGGTTTTTTGTAGGTCTCAAAAGCGAGGATCCACTGGACCCAGCGGTTTTCCATCCTTGTCCTGAGAACGCATCTTTTAGCTGTGCCTGGCCATTCTGAGACAACCCCCAAACCTCAGTTTGGACCATTTCTGTTCGTCAAAATGAGGCAAACCCCATCTCCTTTCTGACTCAAACTTTTTGAGAAGCCAACCCTCCAACCACCTGGCTCCAACCTGCTCAACTCATCCACCCGCCCACCTGATGGTGGGGCCACTCTGCTTAGTCTCAGATCGATGCCGATCATCGTCAGGGGGTGGTCCTCGCGATGGGTCCGGATGGTGGGTACCCAGCACGGTGAAGCATGTTCTGCTTCGTGTCGGCTGGATGGAGGATGGAACATGACCACTTTTTGCAAGGACAGGGATGGAGTCTTCCAGGGCAGTTGTCTTCTTTCAAGACAAAATCTGAAGAAAGCGACCGTTGTTTGGTGCATACTGAACTGAAGGTATGCCTACGTACCCCCATACTGAAGAGTACTATACCGTCTACACGTCCCACCGTTGGCTTGAAAGCCTCAGGCCTCCGTGGTGGCCATCCTCTTGGATCGCCATGGGCATGGCACCGGTCCACCACACCGATGGTCCTTCAAATGCTTCCCCCGGATCGTTTCGGAGCACACGAACTCGTAGATTTGCCACAAAAGGCTCCCATCTCCACAGCCTGGCGGAAGAGCGAAAGGCCGGCTAGGAAGAGCTTCACCAAGGGAGACCGAGCTCAGAGCCTCAAGACAAAGCAGAAGGAGGCTGACCCCAGCAGAAAGTGTTCTCCTCTAGATCGACTCCCCCATAATATCGACTCCCCTAGAGATCGATTCAACTGGTCGACCTCATATAGAAATCCTGGTCGACCTGCCCAGCCCTTTGATCGATCCCAACTCGGATTGTTCCACTTTTTCACGCAGAGACCGCGCTGAGCGTTGCACAACACTGCGGCGGTCCAGTGGGCCGCCTGTGTCCGCCACATAGCAGGGTTGCTGCTCGAGGGGTCCGCTGAAGAGAGGTCGCAGGAGCTCTAAGAGGTCTCGGAAGAAGGCCTGCCATAGGGGCCGGAAAACCCAGGTTGGGATGCTGATATGCAACAAACAGTCCAAACGGCCGCTGTCAAAGAAACCATTGAAGAAAATTGACCATTATCACCCCTCATGGAAGTTGAGAAAATACATCTCTCAACCATCCACTCCAGAGATGAACGAAAATGTTTCGTGCCAAAATATCTGTTCAATTCAAGTTCAACGAATATCCGTTTGCCGCAGCTAATTGGGACAGATGCGGTCGCCATTGATATTGTGGTCAGGTGGCAGGTCTTGTGTCAAAATTTGACAAGTTCTTCACCAAATTGCAACCCAGTTCATGGTTTACTGAAACAGTGCGGAATCGGGGCTCTCAACAACTAAATTTTGTCCGTGGCCCGGCTCGGACTTCCCAAGTGACGGCGCCGAGTAGTGGACACAAAACAATGGCAACTCCACACCAAGAAAAACAAGTGGACGTGCGTGGAAATCACGGGGGCCTAAATGAAACTCTGATCGCAGCTTACCTCAAAGTTTTTCTTCAAATCCGACCCACAATTTCTGGAACATGGGCTGGACCAGAATTGATCAAACCTGCATAGCCCGATCATGCAACCTGACCCCCGAGCAACCAGCAAGCGACAATTGCCCAGCGCGTTCATCAAACCCATCCCTCGTTGTGGAGCTGGAGTCCCAACTCAACAATGGCCAAATCTGCCGTGAGTTTGATACAGCCAAGCAGTCACACGGTAGTCTAATGCAATGATCTAGAGTCGGACCCAGAGTTGCTGGACCTTGACGTCACCAAAGAAGTTGGATCATGTGCACAAGTCGCCCATATCAACATGGGAGGGCCATGCAAGCACATGCTCCTTGCCCAAAGCTTTTCCAGCTTAAAAGCTTTGGCTGCCTGTCATTAGGGTATTTCTCCTGCTACATTAGAACACCTAACTGGTTTTCCTCCCCACTTGCGCCGCTGCTGCTGATGTTGTTCAGCTGGACAACCAGCAAGCACTTGCCTTGTTCCTCCTCCAGTAATGTGAGCCGCACACGCTCGCAAAGGCGAAGGTACTCAGCATAGGCGACAGTCGGTTGAACCTAAAACTTCAGTCTGCTGTTGACAATGGTAGAAAAACCTACGCACTCGATCGCCAAATGTTAGACCCAGCAGGGCCTGACACACCTCACTCGTTCAGTTTCTGATTGCTCATCCGCACCAAGCATGAGGTGTTGACCAGTAGACATCTAAGAACCAATGGCAACGAAAAGCCTGCGACGTACTTGTGTAGTCCGACTCACCAGCTGCTTTGATGCATCTAAATACTCTTGTATGCACTCATGTGAATGGACACAAACGAAACCATCTCTATTTCGTGGCAGGAAATAAAATAACAGGCCTCGGCTCCGCCGTTTCCAGAATCCGCACCTTGTGTTGCAGGCCACTGCCAAGAACGTTCAGCACTCGGTCAACATGTCTCTCCTGCACAATCCGGATGCAGTTGGTCGAACCCCAGAAACATGGCTCCTCAGGAGTTCTTTCGGGAGGATTCCTCGGCTCGAGGTTGTTCGTTCGCTCGATGTTCCAGCTCGGTGCTTCTCTTGGAGATCCATCCGAGCATCGGATCCCCTTCCCTCTTCTCACGTGCCAACAGCGTCTCACGCGCCAACGTCACTGTCTCACGCGTCCTCAACGCCCGTCACTGTCTCCGCAAAGGCCCAGGAGGGGTCCTGTGGCCGTGACTTTGCCATTTCGAGTTGGAGCTGAGGAAGCTCCTTTTCGAAGAGTGGCCCGCACTTAGATGCTGTAACTTCATGTCTTCGCGAGATCTTACAATGCCAAGTAATTACATATACATGCTTTCTGGTCAGGTTGTTCGTGTACAATCAAATTGGTGCTGAATGTGGACCCTCCCACGTAGCGGCCGCTAGCCGTGGATTCCCTTCATCTGTCCAACATCAGGAAACGAGTTCGCCGGGGGGGAGCTGGTCGTGGCACTGCCACACACCGAGGGAAAACGGTGGAGCACCTCCATCCAGGAATCCGGCTGGTCTTGGATTTGGGGATAAGACATGATAAGACTGAGTCTTCCAAAATCTTCCAAAGCTCGGCCTTTGCAAAGGCCCCGCCCGATCAGCTACAAGGATCAGCTACAAGACTGAGACACTGAGACTTCTGTTCCCACTGAGTCCAGCCTTGTTTGGAAGAAACTTTGACGTGAAAGCTCGCGAGTCACCCCAACCACACAATGGGCTCAAAGCCCAGCTTTTTCCCTCTGAAACCGCCAGAGGACCACATCGTTTCAACCTGGAAGAGGACCGGATTCTCCCCAAAAAACCATGTCCATCTGTGCCTCTGGGTGGTACTCCATGTCCATCTTCTCTGCGTGCCGACTCGGTGTTCTGCGTCGCCTCGACGTCGTCGCCCGACCAAACCGCCCCAAGGCCCACACGCCGCGCCCGGGGCGTCGGACGTCCGCAGGACGCCCCTCCTCGTGTAGAATGTGGCGGAACTGGCCCAGCCTCTGCGCCGCGCCGAACGCGAAAGCGACACGCGACACGCGCGCGCGGGCGCGGACGTCCGACTGGTCCGAATCCTTGGAGTGAAGCCGTGCGCTCGAAAAACCGGGCGTCTTGCTTCATCTGGGTTCTGTATGTATGGGTTGATTGAAACGCGTGTAGATGGGTGGTTTGAATGTTCTTCTTGCATCTCACGCTGGTAGATACTTGAAGAAGCTCTCTAATGCTTTCCTAGGTCGTATCGATCAAGCATCGCTGCCAAAGTCGGGGAAGCAGGACCCTGGTCCCTTCATTTGCAGGATTTGGAGAGGTCTGTTCTGCTGGGGGAGTTCTTCTGGGCATCAGCCTGGTTGTTTGCACCAAGTCTAGATGGATAGCCAAGAAAGCTGGGGGGGTGAGTCAACCAGCTGGAAAGTAGCTGTTGTAGCTACAAGATGCTACAAGATCCCTGATGATGTGCACCATGGGCTTCACAGGCCGAAAGCCATGAAACCAAACATGCAGGACGTGTCTGCCATAGGTGGTGTCTTCCACATCGGAACGTAGCCACCAAGCCCATCGGAACGGTGTCATCCCAAGGCACATGGGTGCATAGGACGCTGCCACCAGAAGAGTCTGACAGCGCTGCAAGGACAGCGCCTTGACACTCAGTGTGCCTTGATCGCCGAAGTGCAGAGCCCAGCCAGGTCGAGCGGGAGAGCAGTTTACTAAGCTTGGGTTGGTGGGGAACCGTCCAGCAGTGAAGGACCAACAACAAGTCTTTTGCGAAAGTCTCCAGGTGGGGAATGGTGCCCCTTGAACCCATGGGCACCTCTGTTTTGAAGCCGAAGTGGGGAAACAGCATCGATCTGTGGGCGATGGGACGATTCAAACGCTGCCTGGCCCTGTTGGGGACGATTTTTTTACTGCGAGTTGGCCAGCAGAAAGGGACGGAATTTATTGCTGATTGATTGAAACATACTAATTAGACTGATTAAACAAACAAATCCGCTGTAAATACTCAATGACAATGAATCCACAGGATCAAGTCTTCTCTTCGATTCCTCGTGATCTTCAACCACTTTCGACGCTGCCGAGCGTCCATCGGCGCACGAACCCAGGTTCAGCTCGCGGAGCAGCGGATCCTTCGGAGCAGCGGTCGGTCGGTTCTGTCCAGGAGCAGCTGTGGTTGAAAGAGAGGCTTGGCCCGAGGCGGATCCACCGAATGGTTTGGTGAGAAAGCAAAAAAATAGGAGTTGTCTTGCTTGGGGTGTTGGGTTGCGTGTGTCTTGAAAGACAAGATTTGGGAAGGCCCAAGAAAAAGTGTTTGTTCCGATCATGGTTCGGTTCGTTTTGAAAGAACAGGGAGCCTTCCCAAACCAGCTTCCTGCGGTCTTCATCCGGTGGGTTCAAGATTTGAGTGGTCAACTACAGTAAAGGCCTTCGTCCATAGTATGAAAGACAGAACCTAATCAGGATGCTTGTCATACTGATTTGGAAGATGGTGATATATTTTCATCTGGATGTCCGGTGAGATGACCAGACCAATGGCAAGGGAAGTTTCGAAGGACACTTCCCAGTTGAGCAACATGAACATTGTCGAAGAATGCCACCTGTGATGAAAAACAACTTGACGCATGAGCTCACATGCGCTTGGGATGACGGGCAAAATAGGTCAGCTGCATGAGTTTCGTAGAGAAGAAGCTTGGTCTGTGACTGGGGGTAGCCTTTTACTAGTGGGTGTTCAGTCGATTCTCTTGCACTTGAAACATACATCTAAAAATGCGGAGGTTGCAGGTGTATAGGTCAAGGCGTTCACATCCTCCAATTGACACTTTGGGTTTTGAACAACTCCTTCGTACCTGCAAACAGGCTTCATGAACCCACCAGATCCGACCAGATCCGCTGCGGCACGTCTGTTCCGCGCCGTCCAGCCAAGGATCCAGCTCCCGGCTACACGGCACCGGACCTCTGCGGACCTCCGCGGCGCTTTCCGCGGAGACCACCGAGACGGCCAAGGGCGTGAGCAGCGCAGCCCGAAGGAACACCTGGGGAGCACGGCGGGGGAGGTAAGCCCTCAATGAAGCGAAGGTGGAGAGACAATCACCTTCACGTGGAGCAAATGCCTCTAAGATCCCTATGATGGTTTTTATATGTGTTTATCTTGAAGACCTCACCCCACCCACTCAAACCGCCCGGCCCGACCCGGCCGCCTGGAGAGACCCAGCTTCACCCTGAAGAGCTGATACTGATGGCAGCTTCTTCAACAAGGACAAGAAAGGCTGAGGTGCGCTGAGGTCAAAAGGCAGCTTCACCTGGTCACGTCTCTTCGAAAGCCCACGAGCACTTGATCAGCGCAGGAAAACAACATCCGAACTAGAACTTGAAGAGTCAGAGTGAGAAGAAAAACCGACCTAGATGGAATCTTCTCCCCCCAAGGATCATGGACAAGGCGCCCTAGAAGTGGTGGGTCCATTCGCACCCGGGTGATCGATTCAGAGTGGCATAGAGAGAGCCCCACACGTGGCAACGTGGTCTGCAGGTCACACGTTCGGATCCCCCCGGTCACCGGTCACCGACGGCATATGTCGAAGCCGAAAGGGGATCCACCACCCTCCGCTCTCTCACGTCTGGAAATGACGTGAGATGAAGACGCTCCCTGGTCCTCCAAAGGATGTGCTTCCTCCAATCTAAAGAAGTACAAATACAAATATGATAAAATATGTAGAAGGATTAAACTTCTCACTTCTCCAACAAGGGGGACATGGAAACTCCACCTAGTGCGTTTTTGGAACCAAACCCCCGAAAAAAAGAAAAAAAACACAAGCTCGGAAACACCAAGCGGACTGGCCTCGTAGAGCTCTAGGAGGTCTTCTGAGAGCAGCGTCTCCCAAGCCTGCTGGCATCTCCCCCCTCCGAGCGCAAGCGAACGGCGCCGCCCTTCACGGCGACACAGAGGTGACACGGCAACCTCTCCATCTGTGCGGGAATCCCTGGTGGATGGCGAATCAACACGGCTGTGGGCTGGTCTACAGTGAAGGTTCTCTTTGGAGTGGAAATGGATCAAAAAAGGGAAAGACCCTGTTCTTTGACTTCAAACAGGATGAACAGCAAAGGCTGTTCCCAAAGGGCGTGGGGGTCTAGATGAACAGGCCTACCTAAAGGACATTCTGTGGTAGGCTACACATCACCTGGCATGACGGATAGCTGATAGCTCACTACTCGCTATGACTCCTTATCTTACCGATCCCAACCAACCAACCAACCAGCCCTCTAAAGCCCTCCAAGAAGCACCCGCAACAGCCACACACCCGCCACTCACCTTCAACTCCTGGCACTCCACGAGTTGAAGCCGATCACCAGAAGCTTCGACCTTTTCAGACCCCGAGGCCGTCTCTGTCTGTGAACCCCGGACGACAGCGTCACCACGGGACATGTCTTGAAGCGATGTGTCCAACGGTTGAAGCGATGTGAGCTGCGGGGATGAAAGATGTGAGTGTGGAAGGCCACCAGGTTGGACAACGGGAATCGTTGGTGCTGAAACACTGCTCTTTCCTGGGTGGTGTCCAAACACATCGTCGAATTCAATCAAGCCTCACGGTGCACCCTGTACCAAAAGTACTGAACAAGTTGACCAGGTGGAAGTGTGCAAGGAAAAGGAGAATCCTTCTTTCAGAGTCCAGGTATTGGAAAACTCTGCCAGCATAGACTCCAAACAGTTGCAGCAGGCGTTTGTTTGCGTCAATTATTTGAATTCCGTTGGTGGAAACGTCTGCAATCGTATTCCTAGAGCATTCAACTGTTTGGGAGACGCATGTAAACGAAATACGATGTGTTGACGCGCTCTGCATTCATAGCCACAAGAAAACAACAAAGTTTGACAACGGCCAAGCAGGACACACAGACTGGACAAGGCCCGGACAAGGCAGTGAAGAAAGGGAAGACGGCACGGCCGTGGCTATCGTGCTCAGCCCTTCTTTCCTCAGACAGAATCCTGTTTGGGGAACTAATCTTGCCTGCCCTCCTTAAAGATTAAAAATTCCGCACTCGCACAACAGCGAATCAACGAACCCTTTGCAACCGACGACGTCCTCTCGTCCAAGCAGCATAGCCCAGAACGGTCATGGCTCGCAGAAGGACCTGCCACGCGGAAACGGGATGCAGTGACCAAAAACGAGTGCAGTCAGATGAGAGTTGATCGGATTGCACTCAGCAGTCGGCCAGATTTGACCTACTACACTTCACCGCACTTCACTTCACCACACCTGTTGCGTTATTACCTTCTACATCACCGGTCGGTTCAACTAATCCTCTCCTTGCCCCTATTCTCACGGGGCTCCTAATGCCAAAACACACCTACATAGTGTCACAAGATTCGATGGTACCATGAGGTCAAAGTTGACTTATTGATCCACTAACTAACATAGAACCTGAGAATTGACCCGTGGAAGACTGTTTTCCGAATACCAACCCAGTAGTTTGGGGGTTCCATGGTCCTCTGCATGGGAGTATTGATCCAAAGAATTCCCTTCCTCTCCAGTTGGTTCTCACCTTTCGACTTCACCGAATTCATTCTTCCAGCCTGGAACGTCCACCCCGAATGCCCACCTGGCCGGGTCCCTGCTTCGCCAGACCGTCGAGACTATGTCCCTTCCGCAGGCGGGGCACCATCTGCAACGGAGCGACTTGAGACCGGTATGGAGAAAGGAGCGGAGTGTGCTCGGGTTGCTCGGGTTGCTCGGGTTGCTCCAGCTGGTTACCCTGACCTCCAGAGTTTTTTCGGATAAACGCAAACAGATCTGGTGAGAATGAAAAATGAGCACTTTGTTTACAGGGTCGATGGCATGGCACATCTTCCAAGGGATACTAAGCGAGGAAGAAGCAGTGTTTGGGGTGAGGGATCTTAAAACGACGTTGGTCAATGTTGGTCTACCAACAAGTCTCAGCACTCAGCTCAAGCTGCGAAAGCATCGATACTAGCACGAACCCTTTTGTGGACAGGTTTCAAACAAAAGCGGCCCAGCCGGCTTCTATCACCAGGGACGACCAGAAGCTTCCTTCATCTCAGGTCTAGTTGGCTGTCAGGCATGAGCTGGCAGGCCCGGATCACTTGGACCAGGACATCAAATCACTCTCAAGAGGCAACCAACTTTTGAGCTTCTTGCCAAAAGTAACAGAACATGAGTCCCCAGGATGCATCTGGGCACGGCCGATACACTGGGACCCGGATGCCGGGACCCTTCCCGAGTCGGACGTCGTAAAAGGGACGATCGGCCCAAGACAGAATTTTCACTGACCAACTCGAATGGGACTGTCTCCCAAAACTCATCATCAAACTTCGGCCGCTCAATTCCTTTGGGTTCGGCATCCCTTCACCCTTTGTTGGGATACCATCGTTGAGACCCACAGCTGACAAAAAGATGGCATGTACCAGAAGAGGATTGCAGGTTCTAACCTCAAGCTCCAAGGCACAAGACCTCCATTTGTTACGCCAGCTAACACAGATTTCCCCAGTTCCACTGTGGTCTACATCCCCAGCATTCCGGTCCCCCCTTTCTTTCGAACTCCAGCGATTGGCACCTTCACAAACTCAATCAGCAGTGGGAGACACACCTGGAAGCGGTATTGCTTTACACATCCCACTAACGACATAGAGGTGTCCTTTGTGTATTGCTATTGCAGACGGCAAAGTGGATGCGAATGGACGTTTCATGTTCCTCTGCCAACAGTTCTTGTCTCTGTGTATGTTGGACTGTTGGGAGGGTACCCCAAACGAGGGTACCGGCCATCTACATCGATCGATGGGTGGGCTCATGAGTGGCCCCAGAAAGCTGCAAAAGCCACTCATGCCACAAAGTGGGCGTTCCTTCTCTTGAAGCTGCAAAAGCTGTCTGAGAACACATGTTTGTGGACGATGCCCCCCCCTACACCTCATGTTTGTGGAGAGCAGAATGGTTAATCTCCTGTCGAGATGCACAGTGGCATGGACATCTGTGCTTTTCTGATTTGACCCATATCCTTCTCAGCTCGCCATCCTTCATGTCTTTCACTCTTTCACAATGCGTGCTCCTAGTTGGTGGCCGAAGGCACATAGCAATGCGCCAAGAAGAAAGCATTCTTGGCCTCGGGGTGGGCAAACTCAAGTGGTTTCTTTTAAGAACAGCACTTGGACAACCCTTTTATAGTTGTAGCTCGGGATGGGACTTGGAGGGATGGAGTTTGCTGGAAGAGCGGCATGGAAGAGCTCGAAATGTTTGGGTCAAATTTGGGGGTCCCAAATAGCAGTCAAGATCGATCCTGCCATGTCCCTCTATGGAATTGAATTATTCAGGGCAAAGATCCTTCCTATCAGTACCTCATGGGTTGTTGTTTCCAACAGGTGGCCAGGCCTTGTGTCGGCCCACTTTCTGGTGAGAAAGTAGCTCAAGTCCAGCTGGAACAAGTGAAACCTTCCAAACAAACGCCCCCCCACAAATCGAAGCCGCGCTCGCCACTCTATATAGATTCCCAAAGCTTCGCAGCACCAGAACACCCATCCGCACTGACCACCCAAACCATGCACTGACCACCCCAAGCTTGCAGCCCCAGTGGCCACATCCACTCCATGGCGCGCGGCCTCCACCACTGGACCACTCGCCTCCTCCTCCGCCGACGTCCCCGGGGCGGCGCAAATGCCGCCGCCGCGCAGGTGGCGAAGCATGGCGCGCTGGAGTCCTGCGGAGGCGAAGTGGTCCGGAGTTGGTTCGAAAGATTAGGTCTCACTCACTATGTCGGCAATACCAAGAGGAAAAAAGCAAGAGGTTGAGTAGAAAGCGGTACACTCAAAAGGTTGTCATATGCCTAAACAACCTATATAAGCAGTTGTCTTTTGGGAAATGGCTCACATCGAAAAGCGTCCGAAGCTAAGAAATCCCTCGAACATGTGATCAGTGCCAGACATAATGCCCGCTCCGCCCGCGGTCCCATGGCATTGGGCTCTGCGATCTTCACAAAGCCCTGCAGTTCATAATGGGCCTTGCAAGGTACAGATCGGGGCAATGAGCAGGGCAGGAGAAAATCTACAGTTTAGGCACAGTTTCAATTCTTTGGAGAGAGAGGGATGGAGGACATCTATGTCAAGTCAGAGGAGTTTTCTCCAAGTCTCGTACCCAAACACCCAACATGACTAGTGAACACGATGACAAAGAACCTGCGGAAAGAATCTGCCACAGCAAAATGCACACTCACCAATACATGTCTGCACCTGCACATGTCCGACCAACAGAACCAACCCAACCAACCGCCACACCCCACATCCGGTCTTTGGCGCCCAGGCGTAGAGCTGCGCTCGCAGCTCCTCCGAACGGCCATCCACCATGAGGAGCAAGAAATGGAAGCCTCTGAAGTGGGTGAATTTGCATCATTCTGTGCAGAATAGGTAAGTTAGCTAGAGGTTGAGTGACAACCCCCTCATAGTTCTGATCGTTGAATTATCTAAGGCAAAAGAAGGAGTGGATGATGAGGATGATGAGGGTCGAAGGTCCAAAATAAAAGAACTGTGTCAGTGGGGATGATGAATGGTGCAGAATGGATGACCTTTGGGCAAGGATGGTGCAGAATGGATGACCCTTCTTTGGGGTCTGATCGGATCTGGATTCTGCACGGTCTCCCAAGAGCTTTTGGGACTTCTGCATGCTTCAAGCCTCAAAGACAGTGGATTATAAGTTTGTGCCATCTATGATGCTACGAAGCGAAATCATGTGGAGCACGGTGCGTTCACAGTGCGACCCCGTTTTTGGCAAACACATACTGGAGACCCGATGCCTGCCAGCCACCTCGCGCCCGTTTCGTTTGTTTGACGTGGTTTTCACTGTTCGCATTTTGCCCACCTCGCTCGTGGAGGATCTCCAAGATCTTTGAAAGCCTCGGTTCCAAGCCGCCAGTCCCAGCTCGCCAGCGGCTGACCGCGGCTGACCCAGCTTGGCTTACCCCGGGCCCCGCTGATCTCGCTCATTTGCATGTCCTTCCGAAAGCCCCAAAGGAAGCGGCGCCCCGCTCAGGTGCGAGCCGGCCGTCGGATCAGTCATATCATACCTGGATCTTCAAACGGCACAAAACTTTTGCCGGGTGCAATTTTCAGTTAAAAGACGTGGCAATCAAAAACTATGGTCCAGGTCTGTGAAACAGGGCTGAGCACTTCTACTGAGGAAGTGGCCTGAGGAAGCTGGCATCCGCGAAGGCTCAACGGGGGGTTCCGGAGGCACATGAGCGCCGGAAAAAGGAAGGATGAAGTACCCGTACCCAATCAAACAGTTCACAATTTCTATTCAAATTCAAAACAATTTGGCGAGGTGATACAACATGCCAGAGAAAATCCACAATCCGGAGAACGTCCTTTTAGCTACCTCATCCCGCGCTACCTCATGCCGGACCCATGAATCACGACCAAGCCACATCTTCTGGTCAAGGCCCAAGCCACGAGCCTCTGGCAGCACGTATTGCGCCACCCAGACCGCGCAGCGTGCCTGGAAAAGCCACGGATGGGAGGGGGGTCCTCGACTGTGGAGGAATGTGAAAAGCTGAGGAGGGTTGTTATGATGTTCCTGTTCAGACTGTTGGAGGAGGTGGGGATTTTGTATCATCTGCAGAAACCAAATTCAAACTGGTCCTTTTGGAAATCTTGCTGCCTCTATGCTCAACCATCCAACAGTCCCAATGCTTTCTGTTCGACAAATCTTGTGACTTGCAACCTCCAATCCCGGCTCCATTCTTCGATGCAAAAACTGCTCATAAAACGGATGTCCTTGCCATGTGAGGGGTGGACCTTCACCAAAATGAATGTTTCTGACATTTTCTGACACAGTAAGAGTCTTTCTTTGGATGCACAACCCTAGTTCTGAATTCTGGTTTTGAACTGATACACTACTGGCGGACTTGGTAGACCTAGATTAGACATGTACCTTACAAAACAGTCATCCAACGAAGTCAAACGTTGCTCTGTAGTTCGCAAACATGCATTTTCAGCTTGAGGAACCACTTCCAAAACCGCAGGTAAAATTCATGTGTTCACACAGGTTTCCCAACTAACTAGGGCTAACGATGGACACAAAGTCCATGTTTGAGGTTTGTTGGGATGACTGTGTCTAAAGCAGGTGTTTGGGGGGTGTAAAGGAACCTATAAGTTATAAGTGGTGCCCCCCAGCTGAACTTCATGCAAAAGAAATGGATGCAAACCAAAAGTTTAAACTAGATGGGAGCCCGCACAATTTCAAGGAATTATACAGCAACCTCAGCATCCATCTCTTTGGAGGTGGTTGAACAGAAAAACAGAAAAACATGTGTCGATCTTTTGGGGGAAGAAGATCTTCTGCTAACTGCTAAGTGGGAATCGTAAGACCAAAATCAGTCCTCCCCCTACGCTGTGCAAATCCAAAAGGGGAGACACCCATGTCCTTCGGCACCTCAGAGTCCTTGAGCTTCGGTAGCGCGAAGAGCTCTCGCGCCAATTGCGCCATTTGGGGCCTCGGATGACTGCGAGCGCTGTCTGGACCGAGACACGACCAAACGGCTTTGGAGGGTTCAATCTGTTTAAGTGAACTGAAAGGATCTACGACTTGCATTTGGTATGTAGCCAGGTCATCTTCAGCATCCGACAATGGTTGCAGGAAGGTTTGGACCCCTCGTGGGGTGGAGGATCAAAAGAAAAACAACCAGTGTCGAAAACAAAAAACCCGAAAGATCAAAAGAAGAACAAACAGGGATCGACAACAAAACAAAACATGGCGATGCTGCAATAAAAACAAGGAACAAATGAGGATCAAACTAAAGACAAGCAAGGATCTAAAAATAGGTACACACTAGCACTACTACTACTACTACTACTACTACTACTACTACTACTACTACTAC